TGTTCATTTTTAAAATCCAAATTTCTTTTTCTTATCTGCTTTAAGAAATTGCATGACAGGGCTGCCCCCTAGCTCCCCTATTGTATATATTGGCAGAAGAGACTCTTTTAGTACAAATTAGGCAAAACCAAGAGATTAGAGGACTAAAAATTAAAAAAGAGGAATATAAACTCCAGGCATTCGCCGATATGGCATTTATATTAGAAGAACCCTTAGAAGCGAGCCCTATACTACTAAGCGAAATAGAAGAATACGGAAAGGTGGCAGGGTTAAAAATTAACAAAGAAAAAACAAAAGTGTTAACAAAAAACTACAAAGGAGCAGAAGGAAGAACTAGCAAATAAATTAGGTATGCAGGTGGTAAATAAAGTAAAATACCTAGGGATCTGGTTGACTGCTAGATGTTCATCGATTAAAAAAGATAACTATGATAAGTTAATAACGCAAATAGTTGAAGGTTTAGATAATTTGGTCAAATTGCAGTTATCACTATTGGGATGTATTTCGACAGTAAAAATGAATATTTTGCCAAAATTGTTGTTCTTGTTTCAAACAGTGCCAGTCAAGTTGGAAAAAGATTTTTTTTGTAGAATTAAACAAATGTATATCTAAATTTATATGGCAGAGTGAAATATAAATTATAACAGGATGCCAAGAAAAAAGGAGGATTTGGCCTTCCAGATTTTGAATTATATTATGATGCTGCTATAGTAAACTGGCTTAAGGATAGGGTTAAATTAGAAAATAGAAGGTTATTAGAATTAGAGGGTTTTGATCTCCAACTTGGCTGGCACACCTTCATGTGGGATGGAAAATCTAAACAACATTCATATTTCCAAAGGCACCATGTAAGAAATGTGTTGTTTAATATCTGGGGAAAGATTAAAAAAAACCACTACCCATTGTGGCTATCTACACTGGAAGCAGTTACTCATCCAAATGTATTGGATTATGAAAATATTGTTAGGTATAAAGATTTATTATATGACACTGGAGAGCTTAAAAATAGGAACCAAATACAAATTCAAGGAAAGGAGATAGCATGGTGGCCCTTTGCACAAATACAAACCCATTATAAAAAGGATAGAGAACAATTTGGCTTTAATATGACCCCACAAGAATTAAATAAAATATGGCTAGAAGAGGAAAAGAAAAGAATTAGTAAAACATATAAATATCTTTTGGATTACAAATTAAAAGAAGAAATAGTCACAGAATCTATGATAATTTGGGCTAAAAATGTGGGTCATAGTATTGAATTAGATAAGTGGGAACACATCTGGCAAACAAATTACAAATTAACCATGTCAGTCTCGTATAAAGAAAACTTATATAAAATGGTTCATCGCTGGCACCTACCTCCTGTGAGACTGGCTAAGATGTTCCCCAACGTACCACCCAATTGTTGGAAATGTAACTACGCACAAGGAACATATTTTCACATGTGGCCTTGCCCATGTGCTCAGAAATTTTGGAGAAATATTAGAAATTGGATTTTAAATCTAACAAAACAAAATTTAAAACTTGAACCCGAAACCTTTCTGCTAAGTATGATAGATTCAAACATGGAGAAAAAATATCAATATTTAATTTTGCATATCATAACTTCGGCTAGAATAACCTACGCACAAAACTGGAAACTGTCTTCCATTCCTTCAGAGGATATGGTAATTAAAAAAATACGTGAATGCACTGAGATGGATAGCCTAACCAAACTGTTAAAAAATAAACAAGATAGTGACTATTTTGAAATATGGAACATTTGGTATGAGTGGTTAAAGAAAAGGTAATATTTGATATTTGGATAAGTTATGGAAATGACAGAAGACATGCATTTAATGACAAACTATAGAGAAATTAAAACATTAAAAGAACGAAGGAGTTATGGTAACAAGGCAGATCATGTCAATGATAAAGATAAAGAAAAAAAATGTAACCATTGCTCAATATATGCTGTAATATGTGTGTGTGTGTGTGTATATATATATATATGTGTGTGTGTGTATATATGTTTTCTTAAGTTTTCGCGGGTACTTACATGTATGTTATTCAGCTTTGTTCGGGTATTTTCCCACGTCATTATAGTTGTGCTTTTAAAGTTGTAGCAACGTTTCGGCAGAATCTCATCTGCCATCATCAGGCTTTTGTATTGTGTTCATCTGTGAGTCAGACTTTCACAGCCGTTTCTGTTTTAAATTTGGTGCTAGCCCACTGCTGTGCCAGGATGGTATTTTCTTCATCCTGATTGGTTGGGAGTCTTGGTCTGTGTTTATTGGTCTTGGAGTTTGCTGTGTTCTGCTTGATTGGTGTTTCTAATATCTTTTGTCTGTTTTGGGGCTCTTTTTGTATCTTGATTGGCTGGCAACATTGTATTCCTTTATTGGAGGCCTTTAGTGCAGCTTGGCTCTGGGTAAATGGACGGCTATCATTTGTTAGGAAGCTAGGTTTCATCTGGGTGCCTGGTTGGGGTGTGTTTGAGCTGGAGGTATCAGGGGGGATCTGTTTGTGCCCAGGTGCTTGTCTGGCTAGTAATCTGAGTAATCAGATTTACTCTGAGAAGCACAGAGCCGAAGACACAAGCCTGAAGATGATGAATGAGACTTCATCGAAACGTTGCCTAGATACTTCCAATCTTACACGGGGAAAAACCCGAATAACCAAAGATCCACATACAAATACCCGCGAGAACCTCAGAAAACAAATTAATTTATATATATATATATATATGGCCTTCAGCTTTGTTCGGGTATTTTCCCACGTCATAGTAGTGGTGCTTTTAAAGTTGTAGCAACGTTTCAGCAGAATCTCATCTGCCATCATCAGGCTTCTGTATTGTGTCCGTCTGTGAGTCAGACTTTTACAGTGGTTTCAGATTTAAATTTGGGGCAGCCTATTGCTGTGCCAGAATGGTTTTTTCTTCATCCTGATTGGTTGGGAGTCTTGGTCTGTGTTTATTGGTCTCGGAGTTTGCTGTGTTCTGCTTGATTGGTGTCTCTAATATCTTCTGTCTGTTTTTTGGCTCTTTTTGTATCTTGATTGGCTGGCAGCATTGTGTTGCTTTATTGGAGGCCTTTAGTGCAGCTTGGCTTCGGGTAAATGGACGGCTATCATTAGTTAGGAAGCTGGGTTTCATCTGGGTGCCTGGTTGGGATGTGTTTGAGCTGGAAGTATCAGGGGGGATCTGTTTGTGCACAAATGTTACTGAAGCATTGCTCTTATATATTCATTTTCAAAAAAGTTAGAACACAAAACTCTTAAAGTGCAGACACAATAGTAAGAGATACACTAATCAAACTAAAAACTAAACTTTCAGACTTTTCTTATGGGAGATATAAGAAAAATTATTGAGGGGAATAGACATTTTAGGTCATAATTTTATATTTTGGGGATGAATGTAATTCAGTCTTGATACAATTTTCAGATAGGCAATATAAGAATATTGAAATATTTAGGTACAGAATTACAGTTCTGTAACTCAAGAATAAATCACAGTTCAGCTCATAAATCTATGTGATGTTTAAGAATAGAGATGTTTTTAATGAAAACACATAAACAAATAATTCAAAGTTGAAAATTAGGTTAAGACCAGTCTTAACATTAGATGTAAGGTACAATTGTTACAGATAATTCATGCCAGTCTAAGGTCTCCAGCTATTTCTGTGGTATTTTTCTATTATTTATCAGTATCTTAAATTCAGTATGTCTAAGATTAGATTTCTCTGTCTCAAGGCCTCTTGTTTTTATTTCTAATCTGTTAATGGAGTTAATCAACTATTTCTTAGGTGGAAGAAAAAGCAGTAACATTTTACATTTTTTCCCCAATGTGTTCAGTTTATTGGCATGGACACCAACTAGCAGTCAAAAGACTTGAAAACTTCTTCAATTTCACAATGCCTGGAAAGATTTAACCATAGTTAATGGACAACATTATACATAGAATGCATAATTCTGAACAGCACTGCAAAGATAGTGACATACATCTCAAGAAAAACAATGTGCCCTGTTCTGCTCTCTCCCCAAGATATCTGTAATTGCCTTCCTGGTTAACTGTTGACTAACTTCGATCCCTGCATAAATTCCTACCCGGCTTCTTGCCTAGTCCTAGATCAAGATCAAACTCTTTGTTCTATCTTTTTTTTCATTGTCTTAAAATACAGACAACAAACATGCTTTATTCTCTTTTCCCTTTAATGTCTCATATTAAATCAGAGGGCCCAGGATTTGGCATACTGTATTGCCTTGATCTGTACTGTGGAATGTCTGGAAACAATACTGTAAATACATTTGTTACTCCAAAGAACTCAGTTTACCTTGTCTTTTCATGAGAGACAACAATTACTATTAAAATGCTTTCCTTTTTCTTTGACTCCTCTGATGAGTATGAAGGTTAGAAGGAACAGGTAGGATCTTCTCTTCCAGGAAGTTTTGAAGGTGGGGAAACCTTTATGCTATTCCAGGAACTTTTTGTTGAAAAGAGATTTGTGTGTCATAGAATTAGAACAATCCATTTAGGTCATTGAGTTTAAACTTCAGGAATCCAAATTCCTACTTGTAGCACTCTCTGCTGATTGCAAGAAGAATTGGCAAAGAACAGTAGCAATTTCACCAACTTTTTATACCTTCTCTAGAGCTTCCTATTAGGTAACAAAGTATTTTAGAGTCTGGGTGAGAAGCAGTCATAGGCTTGGAAGAGAAATGAGATTTTTTTTTCACAGTGGGATTTGTTTGGCAAATGCCTGCTGGGTTTTTTTTTTCTACTACCCACAACTACATTGCTATCAGGATAGACTGTCTCTATGCGCTTTTGAAAAAGAGACAGAACCTTGTCACTTTCTTGGGAGTTTGGGTGGGGGGAAGGAACCCCAGAGATTGCTTGTTCTTATACCAGTGTGCGGTGCCCTCTCTGTGTGCTTGCATGTCTCAAGGGAAGGAGGTTGTACTGCTAAGTACATAAATAGAGTCCATATATCTGAATGAGCACATTCTGGAATCTCTTGCAGATATTTGTGGAATTTGATCGGTGCAGTTGGAAGCAACATGCTTGGGTAAAAGTGCATGCAGAAGAAGTTATAGTTTTGATGCTGGAAGGTTCCCTTGTTTGGGTTCCTAGAAATGAACCAGTTTTGTTGCAAGGAACCAGGGTGTCAGTTGAACATTGGCCTGCATTGGTGAGTACTTTCACTATTTGTTATAGTTAATTTGAAGCAACTTACGTAATATCAGATTTTACTGTATGAGACCTAAAATCTCTTGTCTTTTAGGTTAATTTTTGGCTAAAATAATGGATTTAGGCTGTAGGGGGGGGGGGGGGGGGGGGGGGGACTTTATCGAAATGAAGAAAAAAAACCTACAATGAAAATTTTTTACCCTATAGGTATGCTATGGGGAATCAAGGAATGCTTGATTTACAAGCATTCATTCAGCGATTGTTCAAAATTACTGTGATGCTGAAAAAAAATGACTTATGATCTAAGCCTGAAATTATAGCCATTGCAATGTCCCTGTGGTCACATGATCAAACTTTGAGTGCTTGCAGGGATCCTTTAACTCCCTCATCTCCCTTTCTCTCCCTCCAATCTCTGCCCTTTTCTCCATGCTTCACCCTGCCTTGGAGGGTGGCAAGCATCCCCAGAACTGTGTGGTTTTGCATGGCAAGCAGCTGCAGAGCCCTGTGGTTCTGGGGCTGCTTGCTGTCCTGCTTCCTGCCCCACAAGTCAGGGTGAAGGGAGGCAAAAATGACAGAGATGGGGTGGGGCAGATAGGTTGCGGGGGTGAGTTAGAGGCGGACCCTCACTATATTTCTGGGCTGGCCAAACTCAAAGGATTGGATTGGCATGGATACTCACTGAATGACCTACAATTCTACTTAACAACTAATGACTACAATGAGGAGAACCAAGATTCCCAAAATAATTCAGTCTGGTCCTGTGATGTCTCACTTTACAAGCACACCAACTTAATGATGGAAATTCCACCCCAATTTTGGTCATAAGTTAGGACAATCTGTATTATGGGGTTATTTTAAAAGTATTGGTATCATTCTATGTAAAAAACAAAGCATATTGTGTGGGGTTGTGTTTTTTTTGGGGGGGGGGGATGAAAATGTGGCCAGCTTCAGTTTTACAGAAAATTGTATAATTCCTTTTAGCAGATGAAAATATTTCTCAAACAAAATTTTTGATTATTCTGATCATGTTAAAAATAACTTGTTTGAAACTAAAGAGCATTGTCTGAGTGTATATGTCTGTGCAGTCTTCCTAATGTGTATTTCTACTTTTGTTCTGTTTTTATTCTCAGACATTCACTCCTTTGGTAGATAAGCTCGGTTTAGGGTCTGTGGTTCCAGTAGAATCTCTTGTAGACCGAGACTTGAGATTCCTGTCTGATGCTAATGGATTACATCTTTTCCAGGTAACTTACTCCAGAATTATACACCTTTTATTTGTCATGAAATCAATATGAAGGCAATGTGAGCTTGATTTTTAATTGTGCTTTGTCTTCAATTTTCTTCCACAGCACTATCTTGTTTGGGGATAAAAGGAGTGCAGTAATTAGATAAAGTACTGCTAGGATCTATCATGCTGCATGATAAGCAACCTTTGCAGTGAAATGGAAATCTTCTTTGCTATAGGAGGGAAGGAAGGAGAAAGGCAATCAGGATTCTGTTATTATAGTCTGTATCAGTAGAGTTAAAGTAGTTCTTAGATTATCTACTTCCTGACCTGGTCTACTGTGAAAGGCTGCTAAGTTTTATTCTGTGATGCTTCTTAGTACATGTTAAATAATTGACATTTGAGGCTGCTTTAACATTTGTTTCTGCTGGAAAAGCTTATGTAATGTTGCATTTGGACAAGTTGGCCTTCACTGAAGTCAAACATCATTAGTTTAAAAGCTTAAATGCAGGAATGGGGTCCTACCGGCATAACAACTGGTTCGGGAAGTGCACGCATGCATGCCAAACGCACACTGCACCCACGTGCGCGCTACTGGCTCTGGTGAGCATTTACCTTCTTCCAGCTGACGAGCGGCACTCAGCTGTGCCATGCAAAGCAGCTGAGGAGATAAAAGCATAGGATAAAGGACAGCCTAGAGCAGGGGTGTCCAACCTTGGCAACTTTAAGACTTGTGGACTTCAACTCCCAGAATTCCTCAGCCAGCTTTGCTGGCTGAGGAATTCTGGGAGTTGAAGTCCACAAGCCTTAAAGTTGTCAAGGTTGGACACCCCTGGCCTAGAGCCTGGGTGGGCCAAGCAGACAATCAGGTGGTTGTCGCAGCGAACCAGTTCAGTGTCAGCTGCTCTTTGGAGCTATCAGTTCTATAGAACCAGGCCGAACCAGTAGCATCCCACCCCTGCTTAAATGTAAATAAATTATGGCACCTCAATCAGAATGCTTTGAAAAAGTGTAAGAATGTGTGAGAGGATGCAGAGTATGGTTAATCCCATAGTTTGGGATTTGAAGATACTTAGTTGGAATGCCAGAGAACATTCCAGCTAATAGTTGGCAGTGTTCTTTCAACATGATACATGGAAGGTATTGGAAAACCTGTTAAGGCCTTTGCCAGCCTGCTTACTGGGGGAAAGCTTGGCACCATAACTTGAGCGATAGTTATTGCCTAAAGGACATTTCCTGGAATGTTTCCTAGCCCATAGTATCAGAGCTTGGATAGCTTCAGTCTTATGGTCACTATTTTGGCTGTTTCTCCATCATTCTTTCAGAAACCTGAGCCTACCAACAGTGGGAGTAGATGGGAATTTCAAGAAAGGTGAAGGTTGTAGGAAATTTGCATTTACTGTATGTCTTCTGGCCTAGGGTTGGATTTAAATGATGAGTTCTTAGCCAGATTTTGCTGCAGAAACTTTTTGTGTCGTCTGGACCACTTATGAGGATGTTTTGGAGGAATATTTCCTGGTTACCTACTCTTTTAAGTATTGGCTGGAAGAAGAATGTCAGCTGATCATACTCTGGGAAGGTAGATTCAGTATATTCAATACATTAGATTGATCACTTCTTCCAGCATTCACTTTTAAAACCAGGAACCAGGACTAGATTCTTGAAGCTATTGATTTTGGCTCTTGCAATTAAATTATAGATCTGTATAAAAAACACCTTCATCCACAATTTTATGGATGAGTGGACAGGCTTATATCACTGAAACCTGGGTGGAGAAGTAAGGGGTGTTCCTTCGGAAATCTCCTGGGTTTCAGTTTTAATATTTGATCTGGATTCTGGGTCTAGGCAGGCCTCAAATTATGACCAAAATTGAATCTAGAATTTTGGTTGCAAATAATTGCAATTGTAAGTCATTAAATGTCTGGTCGTAAGGCAAGGACTACCTGTAGTAGTAGAAGAAGGTAGCTGTTCTCATCCATGAGGCTCTGCTGGTGTCAAGAGTCACTATTGTGCAGATAACTAGATGTGAGACCTTGTTTGTGCAGTTGGGCCCAAGGGGCCAGAAGAGTTTGCAGATTGTGTATTCTTGCACTTCTTACAGAGTAGCATCTGTTCCAGGAATACTCAACCTGGTTGCTAAGGTGATTATGGAGTTCCCTTGGCTAAAAATTTTGGCCTTGCCTTGTGGATGGTCTGGAGCAACCCACAAGTTCATAGTTTCCCTTACAATTATGAACCAAGTTACCAACATCCATGAGAAGCTCCAAACAACATGCATGGAGAAGAAGCAATAGAAGGGGCAGCTAGAGTGTTACCTGAAGATCCGTCTTGAATTTGACGAGATACTAATATAACTTTATATTAGAGCCTACATAATGGTGATTGGAGTGGCAAAATACAGGGTTGTTGGGTTTGTTTGTTTTTTGCTACCCCTATTGCCTATGCTGAATGCTGTCCGGTGGCCCTTTTCAAAACAACACATTCCCTTTTTAGGAAAGGAGGTTTGCCAAGAGTATCTGAAGGGCCACTGTGAAGAATTTTCATATATTGGCAGACAAAACTACTGAAATTCAAGAGGAGCCAGATTACTGCTGGACTCTGCTAGTAGAGATGACTGGGGCCTTGCATTGTGAAATGATTTGGGATCATTTTGAGTCTGTGAGGCCTGAGATAGAGCTCTATGCAGTATCAGCCCCACTACTTCTAGTTGGATCTTTGTCCAAGATCTCTCATGAGATGGCAGGTTGGATTTGAGCAAATATCAATGCTTCATTTGAGTGAGGGAATATTTCCATCTCACTTCGGGTTCGGTATCATCAGTATGGTGATGATGCCTAACTATTCATCTCATTTCTGAACCAAACAGCTTACGGTATGTAGTGGAAACAGTAACTGAGCAGTCATAGTCTGAATGGGGAAGAAGAGACTGCAACTGAATCCCTGCAAGATGGGAATGGATTTAGGCCTACCAATTTCAAGAAAGCTCCATTGTTGACTCTGAACAGAGTTGTATAATTCTACTCAGATGCACACAATTTGAGGATCCTCCTAGATTTACAATGTCTATTTAAACTGGTGGCAGTAGTGGCCAGGGGAACTTTTGTTCTGCTGCATCTTATATATCAGACAAGGAGTCCCTGCTTGCAATCACTTATGGTCTACCTGTTTTGACTACTGTGTAACTCATTCTGTATAAGGCTATTCTTGAAAAGTATTTGGAAGCTGTAGGTGTTACAGAATTTGGTGGCATGGTAGTAATGGGTATGGTCCAGTTTTCTTGTTGTCTCCACTGCTTTGAGAGTTGCACTGGTTGCCATTTGGCTTCTAGATGTAGTTCAGGGTGCTGATGGTCACCTTTTAAACTATACATGGCTCTGGACTTGACTAGCTGTGGAAGCACTTTCTCCTATGTTCATTTGCCCATTCAGCAAGATCAAATAAAGTCACTCTAAATCCCATTCCTATCAGACCATCATGATAAAATCTTCATAAACAGGCATTTTAGTAGTCCCCCCCCACCCACCCACCCCAGTAGATATCTGATAAGCTTCATCCCCCTTGAGCTTCAGGAGAAGATTCCTGTGATGCAGGAAGATGGTATGCTATAATCAGGCTTGCAAGTGTGTGGCATTTGTATTTGTCCGTTTTTAATATTTAAATTTTATGTTTCCATTTGTTACTTTTTTATGTGGGGTACTTGAGATTTTGAATTATTGTTTTTTGTTGCTACTATTACCAACCATGAACTTTTTTGGGGAATGGGTTGCATACAAGCAAGTATAGTAGAACCTCTGGTAACAACCATAATTTGTTCCATAACTTTGGTCGCAATCTGATTTGGTTGTGACCTGGACCTAATTTTGGAAATTTGGCGCTTACAAAAAAAATGGCGTGGAAGGAGAAATTGGCTGCAAAAAAAAATATGTGCATTATTTGCTCCGAACACAATTTGGTTGTGGTCAGAAGCGTTCCTGACCAGAGGTTCTACTGTAAAATGTGGATGCAAAACTTTCAGTTTAGGGTATGCGCTGTGGAAAGGGCTTAACACATATTGTTACTCCTAATTAAAGCAGTATAAAGGTTGTGCATAAATTCATCAGAGTATCTATTCTGTTTCTCTAAGTTGTGTCTGGCAAAAATATCTATCAAACTTTACAATGTGCTTGAGAGAAGGAGCAGAACTGTATAATACCAAAATAAATTTTAGAAGCAGTTCCAAAACTTGGACTCCTGTCATTATCTGTGAACAACTTTGGCAGTGTTACTCATGCTTTTGTCTTATTTCTCGTCTATTTTTTCATATTAAAAACATGTTGGCAGATGACAACAGAAAGTCAGAGTCAACTTCTCCAACAGCAGCCTTTATTAAGAGAAGCTGTCAATGCATTGGTTGGTGATCAGAAGCTTCAAGAGATCTTTAGCAGAGGTAAGATCAACAAGTTTTTTTAAAAATGTGTTTGATTTTGATGGCAATTAGATTATACTGATAAGCGCTACTTAAAGCCTCATTTTGTTTGAAATGTTTCTTGTATTAGGCTTCTCAAGCCCAAACCCCAAAATTAATCAAGTATTGTTCTGCATCACCTGAAGCAACTTTTCTGTTCTTCACTAAATAGGTTTCAGTATTCAAGCCTTAGAAGAAAAGGCCTGATATCTGCAGATAATTAGATAATGGTGCTCCTGGACACTACAAGCAATATATCAATATATAGGGCTTAGCTTCTTTTGGTCTTGGGCCTTTACATCCCTTTTATGTTACATATGTATATTCCTACATTTTAGTTTCAAATCTCTGTTGTTGAAGTATTAAATGTGGCCAGAAGCTAATATTATTGAGCACTTGCATCCATTCTTTCAAGCTTCAGGAACATGTGCTTTTTAGAGTACTATAATCATCTTTATTCTGAGCTTCCTTCGAAAAATGTTGGAAAATTTCATCTGGTTCAAAATATTAGATTTGAGATAATTGATTAGGGCATAGTTCAAAATACTGGTCATGATCTTTAAAAGTCCTAAATATCTTAGATTAAGTTATCTGAAGAATCACGATTTCCATTATAAATCTGTTCTTAACTCACAGTCTTCTTTTGGCCAGGTAATATTAAAGAATATTTAAAATGTACAAAGAAGGCCTTTTCTCAGGCAATCATATTCTCTTCGTCAAAGTCTGATCTCCTTTCTAGACTTGGCATGGTAGACCTGTTGTATTGAATTGTTTTTTGATGCCAGAGCACATAGATTTAGTTTTTTACTGATATGTTTGTATTTAATGCTTTGAATAGAGGTAGATGGTTGGTTTTGTTGCTGTCCCTGTGGCTGGAAATTGGGATATGTAGTAAATCAAAGATGAGTCTGGTATTGCTATAAATACTTGAGCCAAGAGTGGGTAATTATGTGAAAAAATAATGTGGGTTGTAGTTGAAAATTCTGGAGAACAATAAGCTGCATGTCCTTGTATTGAATAAAGATAGTTTGCCCAAAGGTGTCCTCCAATTCCATTGCATTTTTTCACTAGCTATTGCTAATTTGATCATATAAAAGGTGATTGAAAAAAAGTAAAAAAATATTTAGAAGTTACTGTCAGCAAGTTAAAATATTTTAAAATACATTTTAGAAATGATCCTATACATTTGTGGTAACTATTTCTCACAATAATAGCTTTTAAAACATTTTTACTTTATATTCTACAAATACTTACAATTTTGTATATGTTTTGTATATTAAGAAATAAGCACTTTTGTTTTTTTTCTGTTAAATCCTTTGGAAAAGAATTTATTTCTGTCTTATATGATCATATGGAACTCTTTTCCAGGACTTTACAGTATACAGGGTCAAAGAGTTAAGGTGTATCAGCCTGAAGAGGAAATCAGCTGGGTCTCTGCAGTTGTGAGTTGTCAAGATCCTCTTACACGTCTGATGGAGGTGGTTTTGACTGAGGTGTGAAGCTTTTCTTATGGGGTTTTGAGGTCCAATTTCTTCATTTCAGTTTACTGAACAGGAGGTTACAGATTATCTCCCTGCTTTGTTTTTGTATGGCAAAGTTGATACTTTCTCTAGTAATCTTTTGATGACTAGTTGTTCTACTTATTTAAGAAAACATTTGTGCTAAATGCATGATAAATTTGTAAATTATGCTTACTATAATTCTACTATGTATACATATATTTGATTCACATTTACTAGTAACTGTAACTTGTGTTTTTTTTTGCTCCTTGAAATGATTTTAATTTTGTACTGTTTTGCATTGAAATCTTCAAGTTTCGCAGTTGTGAGTAATTATTTGGATCATAACAAAACTTAAATTTTTAATGGATGCCCTGCATGTTTGTATATAACAAATGCTCCTAGTCATGGCTTCCTCTTAGTCTCTCTATTCTTCTTTGGTGTTCATTTTATCGTAATTATTTATTTATTGTTTTGTTTAAGATTTAGTTGGTACTTTCTTCCATTTATGACATTGAAGGTCCTGTTCTGTAAGTGCCATAGTTGCTGGAGAAACTTCCTCCTCTTGAATATACATAAATTGTCCTTATTATGCCTGGGCAAAGAACATACACTTGAGTCTTGTGTTGTCCAGGATTAAGAAATTCCAGCATGACAGTACAAGTGGCTTCCTGGGAAAAATATTGAAAGCAGATCATTCCACAATCTCTGGTGCTTCTGCTTTTTCAGTGTTTGTATGATGGCCCAAGTCCTCACAAGGCCACAGACATGAAAACTAAGGTGTGTACTTGCAGATAAGCAAAGAATTTTTAAGTGGCAAATGCATTCCAAAACCTGGCTTTGGTTTACCTGCAAGTATCGTTGTATATTTAAAAAATATCCATATTTCCCGTATATACTCATGGATATAAGTGACCCTCAGATTTGAAACCAAAACATGGATCATCCATGGATGGCACAATTTTTTTCTGGTATTTTTATAAAAATTTGAAGGTCAGCTTATCTGCGAGTGGACTTCCACATATATGATAGACACTTGAGATCAGTCATGTCCAATTTTCCAGATGATCTAATATAGGTTGCGGTCTATTATGAATTCATTCTGTACATCCTCATTCCACAGTTCAGGGCTCTGTCAGAGTTAACCATCTGTTTCAAGGTTTGTAATGCTCATTACAAAAAATGAGATTAATGGAAATTTATTTGAATTTATAACTTTTAGAGAGCTTCTAGATTCTTAATTTTCTAAAATCCACCTATTATTATATATTTAAAAACATGCATTTGGTTTTTTTGACATGCTGCTAAACATCTTACATTTTTTATTTATTAGATTTCTTTATTAAATTTATATGCTGCCCATCTTGTGGTCCAAGGAAATTTTTTTGAGAAGTCAGGTCCATTTATGCAGGCAAAAAAACTTTTTAGCATGTGTTACCACACAGTAAATAAATATTGGTGTCTTTTGAAGGTACAAAAAAAAGCCACAATATTGTGAAATTGTTAAATGTCACAAGATTACAGTTATTTCATCCATGAGATGTCATTTTATGCAAGAACATATCACAGATATTATTTTGGGATTTCATAGGTAGTGTCTTGGAACATTGTACTCCACGTGTTGCCAACTCTTTCAATGCTTGTGTAAAAATTCAGAAGATTATTAAAATGTATTCTCTTCTGTCCGTGGATTTTTATATCAACTCTTTTAAAAATCTTTAGCAGCTTTCTCTGCTGCCAAGAATGTGTAATAAAAAGTGGCTATGGAAGTAGAATGTGCCTACTCAAAGTCTCACCTCACAACATTAATATCCTTATTCTGTCAAATATTTGGTTTATTTGCTGAGATGTTTTTGTTCATATTGTTGGATTCATGCAATTGGAATAACAGCAGATTGTTCAGAAATAATAACAAGTTATAATTTTGAGATAATGGAAATTCTTTAGTTGAGGCTTGTGTATAGTTTGTCTTCCTTGCCTTTTGTGTATAAAAGAGGGAGATAGAATGTATCTGCTTCTAGTTTTAAACCATGATGACTTTAAATGTGATGTGAGCATAAATTTTTGTTTCATTTTAACTTGAAGTAATAAGACCAGTTAAATTTTAGGTTATGGTCCTGATTTATTTTCTAACCAGAAGTTTATTTATTTTCTAACCAGAAGTACAGAGCGCTCTGTACTTTAAAGAAATTGTGGTTTATTTTTAAAAAAGGAATAAATATTTCTGGTTTCCTTTTTCAGTGAACCCAGAGTTTGATGAAACTCATACATCTAATACTAATAAGTGATTTAGTACTGTGTCCAAATTGAATTTAGATGTCACTCTCTGTAGAACTTCAGATAGTACTGGAGGGAATATAAGGAATATCTCATTCTTTTATTTAGGAAAAGTGATATCTTCGGTCTTATCTTTGTATTATCTGGTATAATTGAAAATTACAGCCACCTTGAATGTTTATATAAACAGAAAGCATTAATACAAGTTATAATACCTAATATTAGATTTATATAATTAATACATAATTAGAACAATTTTCAAATAAGAGAAACCAGTGATAGCGCATCATATAATAGGCCACATTTAAAACAATGAGTATGATAAAGAAGTGAGATGTCAAAAAAGAAGTTTACATAGCTTGGGGACATAGTTTGCAGATGCTAATTGCTGCTTTGTGGACAGTGTATTTTTTTTCTCTAATACTGGATTTTCTTTTCCTTTTTTGTTTCTGGATTCATTGCATAAAAAACAGACTGGTGAAATCAAGTCAGTAGATCCTCGACTGATTCATGTTGTGATGGATGCATCTATTCAGAATGAGGTACCATGTTTTAGTAGATCGTGATATAAACAGTTGTGGGCTAAATAAAGGTGTGTAGCTAGAGCTTCATTGTCTATCCAATATCTCTAGGTGGATCTAGCTGTGCTACACGCAGGTGTGCATTCTGTTCTGCACCCACCAGGAGATTCTAATCTTCCACCTCTCCCTAATTCAGGGAAGATTACTGTAGAAAGATGAGAGTAGTGAGTCTCTGTTATTCAGTGATTATATTAAGATTGCTATCAATTCTAGTGAAGATGATGAAACAAAGACTATGTTGAAGGGAAATGATAAGCATCTACAATTGACCACTTGAAACTTTTAAGGACTGCATTTGAGATGTGAGCTACATATAGCTAACTGTCAGAAGATCTGGCTCATATAATTTATTTGAACTTGGTTTTGCATGTTATATGAACCCAATCATGGTGATATGTAAGCCAGGGTTTATTCAGAAGGGCAGTGCATGATTCCAAACAGTTCCGGTTCATTTAATAAACTATTTTAAATAAAGCTTGACTTGGTCTGATAGATGAATTAATCAAAGTAGTTATTGCAATAGTTTAATAGAGCCCTCATAATTGTTTGATTTGTTTAAGTATGACTTGCTAATTATAACCAGATCCTATTCACGCTTAAGGATAAGCTGTATGGAATTCAGTCAAACATAGCCTAAATTGGCAGGCATGGAATTATGTACAAATTAATGAATGTCAGGTTACATATTGATCTATTATTTAACATACCTTTTAAATATTATTTAAAGCATCTTGTTTAAAGTTCCTTAACATTAAGCAATATTTCTTAAAATCTTTGGGTAGATAGCAATAATGATTTCTATTGACTTTGTTCAGAGGTGTGTAATGTTTTTCTCTATTACAGGGGGACTCCTAATGTTTTTCTCTATTACAGGGGGGACCCCTAAAGGCAGGTAAATCCTCCAAAGGGAAAAAAAAGAGAGAGTGTGTGGATGGGAAAGATGGACGAAGAAGAAAAAATGCTTCTGACACTGGTTGTGACCATGCTTCAAAGAAGCTAAAGGAGAGGGGCGAAGTAGATACTAATGGAAATGATGGTGGCGAGGCAAATAAAGGTGCATGGAAGGGAAGCGGTGACATGACTCTGGATCCAAAGACCAAGCAACTTCCCCCATTTGTTTCTCCAGCTAATCGAAGTATTCGCTTTGCCACATACACGAAGGAGAATGGACGAACTCTTGTGGTCCAAGATGAACCAGTAGGTGGTGACACTCACGCAACCTTCACTTCCTTTCCTTCAGCTTCTGCGCAAGCCCTGTTGAGTGGAGCTGGAAGTGAAGAGATGACAAAATCCTTAGAACAGAGCAGTCAAGGTCTAGTGGCACCTCCCACAGTAATCGCTACAACTGGGACAATGCCAGCTACTGTACAGGTCTCGGATACTAGCCTGTCGGCAACTTCTGATCAAGAAAAGCAGAAAACGGGCCATTCACAGATCCAGGGAGAGGTAAGTTGTTTATTGCCAGTTTGATGAATATCTAGCATTGCAAAGCTGATGCCAGTATATAGAATGCTCAGACATTTTGGGAATTGCTAGGATTTTATATCAGATAGCATCAAAAGATACGTTATAAACAGTGGTGGGATTCGATTTTTTTTACTACCAGTTCTGTGGGCGTGTTGTGCCTTGGTGAGCATGACAGGGGAAGGATACTACAAAATCACCATTCCCACCCTACTCCAGGGGAAGGTTACTGCAAATTCCCATTCCCTCCCTACCCCAATAACCTGCTTTCCAGCTCCGTTCTCCTGTGCAGGGCAACAAAAGAAGATCCAGCCGATCAGCTGGGACTTCGGATTCAGAGAATAGACGGGGCGGGGCCAGTCAGAGGTGGTATTTGCAGGTTGTCCGAACTACTCAAAATTTCCGCTTCTGGTTCTGCAGAACTGGTCAGAACCTGCTGAATACCATCTCTGGTTATAAACATTACAACTTTGGATTTGTTTTTACACACACACACACACACACACACACACAATAGTTTTATATAAATTTGTTCAGTTTTGATGGGGTCACAGTAATGAAGGAGATGTATAATAGGATTTTGGAACAGTTTTTTCGTGGAATTGCAACAGTAAGTATTCCGTAAAGAAGGCTAAATACAGTATGTGAATAGAAAGTAAGAGCAACTATACAAGTGAATCCTTCTCTTGCCTCGTTAGAAAAATGATACTAATTTGCACAATAAATGAAACTGGAATTCAAAAGTCTCCAGTTTAGTGTATGTTGATTATCTTAGTAAAAAGTGTTTTTTAAAAAGGCAAGTTATATAATTATTTGGAGAAGATGGGTTATTTATCGAGGTTTTTTTTTAATAATTGGAACAAGTGGGGAACTGGATCTGGTCTAGAAATGAGATTCAAAATCATGATGTTCTATTTTCCTTTTGCACAGAGAAAAATTCTATGTGCAGAACATACTGAGTTATTGCTCCCAGTCTTTCCCTTCCCTGCCTTATATAAAGGCAGTCCAGCATGGAATGTCCTTTATTCTTTCCCTGATCAAAGAACATATGGCAGAAGTAATTTATCCAGTACTTGTCTTCCTCCATCAGAGAAGTTTTGAAGAAGGCAGAGGCAACTTTCAATAAACTTACTGATTTCACTCACTCACATCTTCTATTCACTTCATGGAGGAAATACGAAGTTCAGGCAAAGCAGAACAAATCTTGATGGTATTTCTGAAAGAATGCCAGCAAGAGCCATTTCTGCCAGTTCCATCTGGACCTCCCCCACCCTCCCTTTGGAAGAGAAAAAAAATATAACAGAGTTGCAAAAGAGGGAGGGACTTTGCGGGGGAAGGAGAAAAGAGACCAGGTGGACAGAACTGGTAGACCAGATGTTTACTATTTCTGTTTAAGGAAACACGTTACTATTTCTATAATACACAAATTGACAATTTAGGGGTTTCAGAAATGGGAATAAAAATCCGGAATCATACGCTCTTTTTTAGAAAAGAATTACAAAATCAGCTTTGTGAAAACAACTCACCTGTGTACATAGATGTAGCAATCAGTCTGAATTAATTTTGGCAGCCTGCCATATCTTTTTTTTTTTTTTTGCACAATATATACATTTTGATACGGAATATATTGCTAAGATCCGCTCGGCCAGTTTATTGGGGAAATTGCCTTGGGTATGGTGAAATTTGAATTTTGTGGGGTGAACATAATTAGCTGCCTAACTCTTTCATTTCAGAATACCCAAAATTCAGCATCGGCTTCTGCAGGATTTGGAATGACGCAGTCATCTGCATCTCAGCCTTTAGTGTTTGATGATGGGCAAAGCCAATCCAATGGCGTATTAGCTTCAGAGAAGGCACCTGTTGGATTTTCCTTTGGTAATAACACTGGTCATGAAGTCCAGCAAGACTCGGATCCATCAAAGAACTTATTTTTTCAGTGCATGTCCCAGAATCTTCCCTCCAGTAACTACTTCACAACTTTGTCAGAAAATCTGACCGAAGAATCCCCAGATCAGGACTCGTTAAAAAAAAGTTCAGAGAACTCGAGTTTGGGGATCTGCAAAAGTAAAGGCCTCACTGGAGAAATTAATCCTGGAACTCAGTCGGGCACCCCTCCAGAACGGAAGCTACCACTGGAATCCATGCCTACTCTTACTCCGGCTTTTCCACGAAGCCTCATGAGCACACGAACTCCTGATAATCATGAAAATCTCTTTTTACAACCTCCCAAATTGTCACGAGAAGAGCCCTCCAACCCCTTTCTGGCATTTGCAGAAAAATCAGAACTTAGCCCTTTCAGTAGCTTTTCATCTTCAGCTCAGCAGTCAGGAGCTTCTACTTCTCCCTCTTCAGGCCTTGGTCCCAAGATAGCTTCTGGCTGGCCAGATTTGCACACCTCAACTGACTCTTCAGCTAAAAAGAAAAACTTGTTTATAATGACAGATTCCTCCAAGACACTGCCCAATGTGCCTAGTGCAACTCTCTTTGCTGGTGTTCAGAGTTCATCTACTCTGGGGAATGGCCGTTCTAGTTCGCCAGTTGGCAGTCTGGCACAACCTATTGAAATGCCCACACTCTCCTCTAGTCCAACAGAAGAAAAGCCATCTGTTGGTCCTGGGCAACAGGACAATCCTTTAATGAAAACTTTTTCTAATGTGTTTGGCAGACATCCATGTGGCTTTTTCTCTCCACAGGCAGAGCTAGGACTGGAGAACAAACCCCCCTTTGAATCTGTAAAAAGGTTTTCTCTAGATGAGCGGAGCCTGCCATCTAAACAGGATTCTGATTCTAGCACCAATAGTGACCTCTCGGATATGAGCGATTCTGAGGAGCAACTGCATACCAAAGCTTGTCTGAAGGGAATCCCAGAGCATTTGATTGGCAAACTGGGTCCCAATGACGAGCGGAATGCTGAACTACTCATGGGCAAGGGAAAGGGGAAACAAACCCCTAAGGGCAGGCCTCGCACAGCCCCCCTGAAAGGTGATGTGTTTTTTTTAAAAAGGCAGAGTCTGGTAATTTGGGGACGACAGATGATGGGCTACTTAGTTCAGTATTTATATACCTGCTATACTGTCAATCACATGATACATAACAGGGTTTAAGTGAATTGTAATTATTTTAGGTCATTTTGCAAGCTTTTTCGGTGAAGTGCTTGTGTTTGTGGTTCTCTCTCCCTCTCCCTCTCTCTCTCTCTGTCTCTGTCTCCGTGTGTGTAAACTCGGAAGATAGTAAAATTGAGAATCCTAAAAGTGTTGTTTTCTTAAGATGTTAAATGTCAGGAAAAATATGTTGTGTAGTGGTAAAACTCAGCCCTGTATACAAGGCTACTTAAAATAGATGGTATTTTAGAGAAGAAATGTGGCTTGGCCTTCAATTCAGATTCATGATACTTCTACCATAGTAAATGTTATTTAGAAATTAGGAATAAAACAATAATGCTTTGTGTTATTACAGATTTTATATATGGGATTGATTTAAAAGGAATTTGAATAGCAAGACAAAATACTGGGGAATTGGAAGGCAGCATTACGTAGGTACTAGAAAGAATGGTTGGAGAATTAACATAAAAAGAAAGAAATTAATAAACCAGAGAGGCATTTTGTATAATCACAAAAATCTCTGCAGCTCTTTGTAGCAGTCTAGAAGTTATACTAGGAAATGGCTGACACCAGCATTTCTCCAAGTAAGGCAATATATCTAATAGCATTTATCCTTACTGAACATGCTTATTTAACAAGCAAACATATACCATGTCCATTGAGATTCTCATCCAGGCCGTGGTTGTCCCAAAGATGCTTTTTCAAGAGGCAGCTAGACTTTGTGGTTTTTCTTTGAAGACATTCTCAGAGCTGAAGAAGCTTCTTGGATGACAAGCGAAACATCTTCAAAGAAAAACCAGAAAGTCCAGTTGCTTCTTAACAAAGCACCTTTGGGATATACCATGTCCCTGAGATCGTTGCATCAGATTTGGGTGTTGAAAGCATTCATTTAAATTATTCACATTTCCAACCTCTAAAAATGGAAGAAATCTAATTACTGGGGGAAATATAGGTACAAGCTGAATAGGAAGTTAGAAGTGACTGCTAAGAAAAATGAATCTAAGTATACAGTGGCTCATATCCGATAGACCTAAATACTTATAATCTCTGTGATAGCTGTAGTGTGAAATATATTGATTGTCATTTAAATATTTAATTTGAACAAAGGATAAGTATAGTGGGGAGAGTAGGGCTATACTACTGTTCCTGCTTAAATATTAAACCTGTGTGCTGATTGTATTGTACAAAAATTGGATAAGGCCTATTGCCTTACCAGCTCGCAGCAAGTAGAATCCTTCTCCTCCTATCTAATAACAGCTCTGTGTAAGTAAACATACATTTCACAGATTAAGTAAATACTTTCTGATACTAGCAAAAATGCTGTCTTGTAACCTGCTTGTAATACTCTAATAGATGCTTTGCTTTGTAGTTGGTCAGTCTGTACTGAAAGACATGAGTAAGGTGAGGAAGCTGAAGCAATCAGGGGAGCCCTTCCTCCAGGATGGCTCCTGCATCAATGTGGCTCCACATCTGCACAAGTGCCGAGAATGCCGGTTGGAACGCTACCGAAAGTTCAAGGAACAGGAACAGGATGACTCTACTGTAGCCTGTCGGTTCTTTCACTTCCGCAGGTGATAAGGCTCTCTTGAGTTATTTGTACTCTCTCCTTTGTTAGCGTTATTCTGTAAGTCATTACAGTAAGTAAGATCTCTTCTGATCTTACTTAGTTTCCACAGTCCTCTATAGTTCCAGAGAAATGCTACATGCATGGCTCAGATCAGTGCAATAGAATAATAACGAATATTAAAACTGGAAATATCTTGACTGGCATGGAAACATCTGACTGGAGTTTCTTACCACTGTTGCTTCCATGAGAAACCTTACTTAACTCTCTTGGATGTAAGCAGTCAAACTAGGGGGGGGGGGGGGGGAAATTTCTTAAGATCACGTGCAGCATCACATGTGCAGAGTTCCACTCGTGTAACAATTTTCCAATGCATTTCCAAAATTTCCAGGGACCCTTTGGGATAGAGTTGAGCATTAATATTTTCCATATTTCAGTTGTTTAAATAATACAGTTCTGTGGTTCAAAAGCTTATATGGGCCATTCTGTAATAAGCCTGGAATATATTCTGTATGCTGGTACTTTAAACTGCAGATCTGTATATCAAAGCATGCTACCATTTTAAAAAAAATATCATTGGGAAGATGATTTTCAAAAATTCCTGGGGATGGCTTCTAGAGGGAGGGGATGGATCCTTAAATGTAAGCACAACCACATTGAGAACCACTCAAGGATGAATTTACAGTACGTTTCACCACCCAGGAGGAACATACATCTAATATAGGTAGTCCTCGATTTACAATCATTTATTAAGTGACCGTTTGAAGTTACAAGGCTACTCAAATTTCCACGCGCTTATGACCATCACAGCATCCCCACAATTAAGAGAGCAAAATTTGGGCACTTGGCCACCAGTAGGTATTTGCAACAGTTGCAGCATCCAGGGAGTCATGTGATGGTCATTTGCTACCTTCCCAGCTGGCTTCTGACAAGCAAAGTCAATGTGGGAAGGCAGAATTAGCTTAAAAACCACATGATTCACTGAATTGAAGTGATACACTTAACAACCGTGGCAAAAGGGGAGGGGGCATTTGTTATGATTTACTCAATAACTTACCTTGCTTAGTGTCATAAGACGAGACAAGTAAAAGAGGAAATACAAGCATGCAACCTCATTTCTGCTTTGAATCAAAAGTTTATTTCATGAGCAATTTGGAACATGAAAGCCATCATAGTACAAACAATATTTCAGAAGATGGTACTTACATCAACAACTCATTGCAATGAGGTCCAGATAGTAGCTAGGTCCAGCAAAGAGCAGCTACCACCAGTGACCATGATCTGAGATAAAACTCCCGTCAGGACTCCAACAAATCCACTGTTTAGCTGCCAACCCCTTCTTATATACCCTTTTTCTCTCCTCTCTTCCGTTCCTCTGGAATATTACCATGGTAACTTCCCTATTTCACTGTGCCATCCGATTGCTTGGCACTTCCATGTGCTTATCTGAAAAACTCTTGCTATCTGCACTTTAGGTTCCTTATTCTCATAATGTCCCAGACGGTCATGTCCAAAATAGCCCCCAAACTGATTAAATTGCAACTATTTAAGTTTTACACAATACATATGACAAATTTCGCCTTAGTTTGCGTCTTTTATCAAGCTAGCGCTTTAATATACTGTCGTATAAGAATCAGTACAAGCCAGGTACAGGGCTAGGAAGCATAGACACAGGTAGAGAGTTAAGGGTTTCCTTCTCACATTAGCAGCTGAAATTCTGGTCTCAGTGGTGGTCATGGTTGTAATTTGTAGACAGTTTTGCATTAGTTCTGAGGGTTCTGTCCACTTCCTGGAGACCAGCAGGCTCAAACTCTTCCTAGATAGCAATATAACTCATTGCCTTAGTCAACTCAGCAGCACATGTGTGCAGCTTATCTGAGCAATTTTAGTTGACAGGTATCTAAATAATTCCTCACAGCAGCCCTTCAAATGATCTTTACTGATACTCTCCCAAGGGGTCACCTTAAACAGTGCCATGGCATGGTCATTTTCAAAATGCAATAAAAGTGGGGAAACATCACCATTTTGCTTATAGGATTAGGCTCTTATCCATGTTCAGTTGGATTTCTTCTTTATTTTCCTTCCGTAGCATTCTAGGCTTCTCTTCTGCTGTATCGTTTCCAAAAGTTCCTTTGAAAATTTAGGATATTTTTTTTTAAGAATTCATAAATAATTGATTGATTTTGCTAATTTTGAATGATACCATAAAGAAGGGTTGGATTCAATTTTTCTGTTGAAGAGCAACTGATACCTGCAATTCTGTTTCAGACTGATATTTACTAGGAAGGGGATATTGCGAGTGGAAGGATTCTTAAATCCCCAGCAAAGTGATTCTGATGCTATGAGCTTGTGGATCCCATCAGCCTCACCTGCAGAAGGGATCGATTTGGAGACCTCTAAATATATCCTGGCCAATGTTGGTGATCAGTTTTGTCAGCTAGTAATGTCTGAGAAAGAAGCAATGATGATGGTAGAACCACACCGTAAGTTCCTTTTTTCTTTTTAATCTTGTCTGTGAAATGTATAGAAATGGGAATAATCAAAAGAAAAGAAAAAATGAAGTCGTTATTAATGATTTGCCTTTTTTTTTTTTTTTTTTTTGCAAATTTGGTCCTCGTGGGGTTTGAAGAAGAGCTGCCTCTTTTTCCAAAATGTTTTTATTTGAGGTGTGAAAACAGGATTTTATGCAGGAGAATCTCTTAAAAACCAATTTTTATTTGTTGCAGTAAATAATGTAAAAAAACCCTTGCTTTCTATTGAAGCTAGGTTAACATAAGGTTCTATGGAACTAGATAGGCATAATTTCCTTTATTTGCCTTGTGCTGATGCAGCTTTTCTCAGCATGGAACCTTCCAGATGAGTTGGACTTCAAGAGTTTGTTCCCAATGTAAGTCTTCAAAAATGTGACACATCTGCTTCAAAACATGAAACAGGTTATCCTGAATCCAGTATAGAAATGCATAAGGATATTTATGCAAACAGAAGAAATCTATTGGCAAGAGGGGCTTTTTCACAGGTTCCCCTGGTGCATCAATTACACCTATTCCTGGATTGGGAGGTGCTGTCACTCATGGCTCGGTCACCTCAAAATTGGATTGCTGTAATTTGCTACACTGTACGTGAAGCTGTTCTTGAAGACCATTTGGAAACTACAGCTGATCCAGAATGCAGTGACAAAAGCAGATGTGTCATGTTATGCTCATCCCCCACTGCACTGGTTACCAGTTGGCTTCCAGGTGTAATTGAAGGTGCTAAGCCCTTCATCATATAGAGCCTGGATAGTTGAGTGACTGCTTGTCTCCAGTTATGTCTTCCTTTCCATGAAGTCGGGAAGAATGGGCGTGTCCTAAATCCTGTTAGAGAAGCTCGCAGAACTTAGGAAGTATGCCTTCTTTGTTGCCAGGCCTGCTCTCCTGAATAATATTCTTCCCAAGGATTCATATAGTTCTCACCTTAATGATATGCAGCCTTGGGGTAGGTTTGTGCCCCCTAAATCCCTATGGTTTGGTGGTTTTCTAGTCAATTGCCACTTTTCCTATATATGATTGTTTTTCATTTCTAAACTTGCAGAGGAGTTGAGCAGCCTCACAATTGAATTAAATCATAATAAACTGTTTGGGAGGTGTTTTATAAAGTACTCTACATTTTTAAAATGGCTGCTATGAATAACTGGCTAACCTTTAATGGTTGGGGTTTTTTTCCTTGTAGAGAAAGTGGCCTGGAAGAGAGCTGTACGTGGCGTGAGAGAGATGTGTGATGTATGTGAAACAACCTTGTTCAATATTCACTGGGTATGTCGCAAATGTGGCTTTGGGGTTTGTTTGGACTGTTACCGTCTGAGAAAAAGCCGTCCACGTAGTGGTGAGTATTTAGAACTGTCCAAGAATATTGTAAAACCTAAACAAATAGTCTGTACCTAGCAGGTTGTCTTTTGAAGAGATCAATTCATGATTAGAGGAGAGATGGATCTCTGAGTATTTTGTACTGATCATGAAGAGTTTCTCCCATTTAGCAGCAGAAGAAACAAGAGACTTCTTTTGTCATTTTGATGTTAAACTCTGAAGATGGAAGGGTACTTGGAAGGAGATTCCAATTATAAGTATATGTGAATTCAAGTCTAGTCTAGAAAACAATATCTTAGGCAGCAATAATGAACTCTCATTCTTTAATTCCAAAAATACAGGTAGTGCTTGACTTAACGACCATAATTGAGTCCAAAATTTCTGTTGCTAAACAAGATAGTTGTTTAGTGAATGTTGCCCCGTTTTATGACCTTCCTTTACAACAGTTAAGTAAATCACCGCAGTTGTTACATTAGTAATACAGTTGTTAAATGAATCTAGTTTCCCCATTGACTTTGCTTGTCAGAAGGTCGCAAAAGTGATCACATGACCCCCGGACATTGCAACTGTCATAAATGCATACCAGTTGCCAAGCATCCAAATTTTGATGATGTGAGTACGGGGTTGCTGCTAAAATCATAAGTCACTTTTTTCAGCGCATTGTAACTTTGAATTGATAACTAAACAAACAGTGAAGGACTATCTGTATATTATATGCAAAGTGATAGTGTTTCTGTTTACATGATGTGAAAAAATAGAATATAGATAAGCAGGTTTTCATTACTGAGATTAAGTAGTTTACCTTGGGGAGATTTATTTGATGGGGAAATAGGTTGGAAGGTTGATTCTAAGCTTGTTTAGGTTTTAGTCTTATAAACCTGTTATATTGGTACTGTCCAGCAGGATATTAAACAATGTAAATAATATGTGCTAGATGTGCAATTAGCACACGATGCAGATTAGTACAAATTTTTTTACTATGAAACTATTGCCCACTAAAATCAAAGGATGGCTTTCTTGAAAAATTATTAACATACAATACTTTGAAGCCATCAAAGCATAACATTTGGAAAAACTGGATTTCCCCCGCCCCCTGTATTCCAGAAACAGAGGAGATGGGTGATGAAGAAGTTTTCTCATGGCTGAAGTGTGCAAAAGGGCAGTCACATGAACCAGAGAATCTCATGCCAACACAAATCATTCCTGGCACAGGTAAAATCATTAATGCTTTTCCAAACCTATTTTGTTTTGTTTTTATTCTGATTTGAATATATTCTGGTGTGTTTTTTTTAAAAAAATCACCTCTAAAGCAGCTTAGAGGAGTTTTATAGAGATTATACTACAATAAATGAATATATTCCACCAGAGAGAACTTTACTAATCAGCCTCAGAATGAGTTATGTGTTAATTTTTGAACTATCTGAAGGTAGGTTATTTGTTTTTTTAAAAACCTTCACTACTTCTGCCCTAGTTTGAACGTAAATATGCTTGCTTTTCAAAGCTTCCAGATTTTCTTATGTTATGTTTTAACTTTCTAGCATTATATAATATTGGAGACATGGTTCATGCAGCACGTGGCAAATGGGGAATTAAAGCTAACTGTCCATGTATTAATCGGCAGAACAAATCTGTGTTGCGACCTGCTGTCACAAATGGGATTTCACAGGTATGTGAATTTTCAGTTTGACAGTAATTAGGACTTTCCTTAAAAGTATCCCAATGTGCATTATGCATAGTGGAATAAAGTGAACATATCCATAGCAAGGTATAAATAAATATCCTATATTAAGTGGATGTTATCTTTTGTAATTTTTTAGATCTCTCACAAAGTAGTTGCTGGGAAGATACTTATATTTTACATATTTAATCTATTCTGAATGATGTATGGCAAAAAAGTACAAAATCCTTTAAATTTTAAAATGATAATCTGCTCTGGTCACCTTATCCAATTTTTAGTTACAATAATTCTATCTTTACCTGTTAAAAAAAACTTACAACCAAGCCTACTAAAGATACAACAAAATCTGTATTTGTGCAGTTTATAATATGGCAGACCTAATGATAACCAGTTAAAAGCTACTTTCTTTTCACCATTATTACATTATATCTATTAAAGAGGTACTCAATCCCAAATCATACGATAAAATAATAGAAGTGCGTTTATATTCCACTAAAAATCCAACTGGATCCCATGCATTTAAGAAGATCTTGTTTAGAAAATATACAGTTTTGTAGTAGTCAAATAGCAGATTTCCTGCTGCTTTCCACATCAGTGATTAAGAGAGATTCCTCTTCTCTGTTAAACATAACTTCCAAACCTAGTCTAGGCATGTTATTGACTTGTCCATGGCTTTTTTTCAATTAATGTCTGTTTTTCAAAATGGAAAATTTTTTAGAAAGTTGCAGCCCTCATACGTTAGGCTTCTACTCTGATAAATCCTAATTTCCCACATTTTATGGTAAAATCTCATTGACTGTTGTTAGATCCTTTCAACTGGAGGCCTAGTGATTTACTTACTTAAAAACTCTCTCTGTGTGTGTGTTAGTTCGACACTGCCGTTTCTGGATAGACTGGATACTGGCTAATAGATGTAGGGAGGCAAGTTAGACTACTAGACCAAAACCATGGTGACAGAAATGCTTCTGCTGTTTTAGATTGTGTCTGTCAACGTCTACTGCCCCAACTTGACGACAGTTTTTTGCTTCTCTTTTAGCTGAATTGGAAAGTGTAATTAGGTTTTAGCTCATAGCATATGACTTGAAAATGTCAAAATTAAAGATCAAGTCGTCCTGGAAAACATTGAAGTACTTTACCTGTTTATTGGACAATAGGGGCATAATAAGGAAAATTATGAATATAATGCATTGGGGATAATATTCGCTAAATAGTTTATAGGGGGAAATGATCAAATAAAGAATCTTGAATTTTGAAGAAAATGGTTCTGGCTACTGGATATTTTAATGGATGAGGCCTTAGTAGTTTGTTAAGACTTCATTTGCATCCTATATTTGTTTCTGTTGGTTATCAGTCATAGCTTTAGCCAGAAATGACTGTTCTTTGAATATTCTCTAATCATATTAAAATATAGATCTGGTTACTTAATATCAACTTATTGTTAATTGTCAAATGATGTCAGTGAACTTGTAAACATGATTTTCACAATATGGTAATACCTATTATATTTTGAAATAGTTTTATTCTTACTCTAACTAGTATTGATGTTAGCTTTTATTAATTGATTAAGATATTTTTGACTCTTTGAGTGTGATCCTATGTCAGCAGCTGCCCAGCATGAATCCCGGTGTATCAGGTCCTGCAAGTGAAAGCACGTTTTCCCGTGCCTCAGGGACAACTGAGAATGAGCCATTGGACACAAATGCTCCAAAATCTGAAACTGTAGAAGCCAAAGTAGAGGAGCCTGTTAAAGCAGAGGCTGCAGCTACCAGCAACAGTGGGGAAATGAAGCCTAACAAATCACTGTGTCCAGAAGCAAGTCCTTCATCAGCATTGCATTGGCTTGCAGATTTAGCGACTCAGAAGGCAAAAGAAGAAACAAAAGGTAAGCTGAAAATTTTAGTTAATGGGCCAGTGTCTAGTGTGGCAAGGAGGACAGTGTTCTCAAAAACAGAAAGTGTCAAGGACATTTCCAAATAAACTGCTTTTCAAGTCTCAAGTATTCTTTACCATTTTTTTTACCAAATGGTAAAAAAAGAAAAATCAAATTGGCATAGTCTAAAAGAGCAACTGTGGTTGAAATTATTTTTTTCCACTTAGGGTTGACTTTGCTGTTTAAAGCAAAGAATTTGCATAGTTTTTACCTTATAATTCTTTGGGTGTGTGTGTGTGTGTGTGTGTGTGTTTAGCATAATTTAGGTATTCAGGCACTGTTCACTGAACATTTTCTGATGTTTGGTATCTTTATTCTGTATAATTGGCAGATGATGAGAAATTATTAATTTTCTATGACATATCAATAATTCAAGAAAAAGGTAACTTGAATCTTCAGGCTAACTACTGATCTATTAGTCTCCTCAGCCTTAGTAGCAAAATATATTCCAGAAGATAGTATATTTTGCTACAATACTCCAAAAGATAGTTCAAGATACGGAAGGATCTTGACTGACTTTAACACTGGACCCTATCTAACAAAAATGAAATCCAATGTAGAGAAAAGGTTTTACATTTAGGCAAGAATAGTAAAATGCACAAGTATAGAATAGGTCAAGGGTGTCAAACTTGATTTCACTGAGGGCCGCAGGGTTGTGTTTGACCTCGGGGCCGGGGTTGGTGTGGCCATGGTGGGAGTAGCTAGTTCAGTGTCACTCGTGTTGGGGATGCCTGTGGTGGCCTGAGTACTCTGCCAGTGAAAATGGGCTCCTAAGCTCTGTTTGTGGCTGCAACAGCCTCCTGCAACCCTCTGCCAGTGACAACAGAGTTGGGAGTGCCACCTGCGGCCCTCCTGAGTTCTGTTTTCAGCTGAGATGACTTCCTGCAACCCTCTGCCAGCGAAAATGGAGCTTGGGAAGGTTGAACACAACCCTCCCAAGCTCCGTTTTCACTGGCAGAGGCCCTGCGGGCCAGTCCTTCACTGTTTCCACTGAGGGCAGCTCTGTGGGCCAGATCTAAGCATCCCGCAGGCCAGATCTGGGCCCCAGGCCTTGAGTTTGACACCCTTGGAATAGGTGGTACCTGACTCAACATTAGTAATTGTGACAGGGATCTTGGAGTCCTAGTGAACAATCATTTAAATATCAGACAGCAATATGCTGCAGCTGTCAAAAAAGCCAACACGGTCCTTGGCTGCATAAATAGAAGAATATCATCAAGATCATGCAAAGTTTTAATACCATTTTATAATGCCTTGGTCAGACCACACTTGGAATATTGCATCCAGTTTTGGTCACCTGATATAAAAAGACGTTGAGACTCTAGAAAGAGTGCAGAGAAGAGCAACAAAGATGATTAAGGGACTGGAGGCTAAAACATAATGAAGAAGAGTTGCAGGAATTGGGTATGTCTTGTCTAGTGAAAAGAAAGACATGGGGTAACATGATAGTAATGTTCCGTAGGTCTCCTGCATGGGTTGGATTAGGACTTCTAAGGTCCCTTCCAATTCTGTTATTACGTTATATGCCTGATTTCATCAGATACATAGAATGGCTTATTAATCAACAATTGTAATGTGTTTAAAAACTGCATTATGTTTGGTGAGACATGACATTTCCTGAAAACTTTAATGTTAAGTAATTTCCTTGCTGAATGATACAGTATAGTCTGTCTTACAGGTAACCTGCTGCATACCCAACCTTTTTCCCCCTCTCCTTTCTCCTCCGCCACCATCATCCCAATTTAAATCCCACATATGTCTAGCCAGATATTAATGGCTATTCTTGCATTTTTAATGAGTAATTGTAGTCAAGCTCTATTATACTACTAATGTACTTCTGTTTTTAAAATTGTTCTAAAATAAGTACTTCTGTTTTTAAAATTGTTCTTTCTTCTATATGCTTTCCTTTATGGTTTTTCAGAAGCAGGTTCTTTGAGATCAGTACTCAATAAAGAATCGCCATCACCTTTTGGTTTGGATTCCTTTAACTCCAACACAAAAGCCTCACCTTTAACTCCAAAGCTTTTTAATAGTCTCTTGCTGGGTCCAGTTGCCTCAAGCAACAAGACAGAAGGTTCCAGTCTTCGTGATTTGCTTAACTCTGGGCCTGGAAAGCTGCCTCAGACCTCGCTTGATGCAGGGATTCCTTTCCCTCCTGTTTTTTCTGGAGCTTCCACAGTAAGGGACGCTTTTTTCTTTAACTGTATATGTACAGTTAGGTAGATTTAAAAGCGGTTACTTCACTGAAAGGGATGAAATGTTAGAACTAGAAGATTTGATAATGGAAAAGTAGATGCAGGAGAGAATACCATGAAATATAAGAGATTAAAATTAATTGAAACAGGCACTGGACCACAATAGGTGGAACTCTGCGAGAAAGGTTGCCATTCCTTCACCTTATCTCTGTCCCTCCTCCAAAGCAGTCCCATTGGACCAGGAAAGCCCATTTGAAGAACATAGCTTGAATGCAGTAAGGTTTTGGCCCCTTCAACTCACAGAAACATAATGTATTCCTTTAAAGATATTACATTGAGATTCTTTTAAGTCCATAGATGATAAATACGTTTAACTTTATAAAATAGTAAAACCTATTAGTGCAACATTCATTTGTACTATTAGAGAATGCAATTAACATATCCAAAGGTTTAGGGTTTTTCCTTTGTGCTAGCTGTTCATTTTTCTGGAAGTGCTTATTTGGTTGAAAGATACAAGGCACAGGCAAAGATATATTGCTTAATTTAGCAGAGTGCTTGCATTGTTATGTGAATTCTGTTTTCTAGGGGGCCAAGAGTAAAGCCAGTTTGCCAAACTTCCTTGATCATATAATTGCATCAGTAGTGGAAAATAAGAAAATGACTGATTCTGCCAAGCGAGCAAGTAGTGTAGCTGATACACCTAAAGAAGTAAAAGAAATGGTAATGGGTTTAAATGTGCTGGATCCACACACTTCTCATTCTTGGCTTTGTGATGGAAGACTTTTATGTCTTCATGATCCCAGCAACAAGAACAACTGGAAGATCTTCAGAGAATGTTGGAAACAAGGACAGGTAATTTTTTAAAAAGCCAGATCATCTTTTATATTATAAAAATATACGTGTTATTCTTAAGGCAAACTATCTGAACAGAATATAATATCTTAAGAAGTCAAATCTTTGCTTAAAGTCAAACCATAATTAGAAAATGCCATATGCACAATTCCTGATAAACTATCAGACAATAGACTATTCAGAATACCTAGCAGTCAAGATATATAAAAGTCATAGCTTCTCCATGACTAAAAATAGTTGAAAAACATGTAAAATTAATAATTTTACTTTTTAATTAAATTATGCAGGTAAATGTGTACTTTCATTAATTGTACACTAAGCAGCAGTGGTTCTCAACAGAAAACTAACTGGCTTAGTTTTGTAAATATGCACAACTCTTCATTTGAGTCAAAAAGTGTTATAAACAAACTGAGCACTTATGTTAACTCTTCTTTATTATTATTTAAAGCTGTCCTTCATAATAATTGTTTTTCTTTTTCACTCTGTTGCAGTGAGGCGTGTTTTAATCAGTTTTGTTTCAGTGACTTTCACTGGATTATTTTTATTACGTACATTCATTATCTTTTTAAGAAATCTTATATATTACAATAATTCCTTATATATTTTATTTATCCTTCTGCAGCCTGTTCTAGTTTCTGGTGTTCATAAGAAACTGAAGCCTGAACTTTGGAAACCAGATGCATTTAGCCAAGAATTTGGAGATCAGGATGTAGATCTGGTCAATTGTAGAAATTGTGCCATAATCTCAGATGTTAAAGTGCGTGACTTCTGGGATGGCTTTGAAATCATTTCTAGTAAGTAGAGTCTGATAGATGAGATCATGTTCTGACTTCCATTCTCTTTTGTGAATTCGTACAAGTTGTGAAAAATGTGCTGATTTTCTCAGTTTAGCTTTTTTTTTAAAAAGTATATTTGCGCAGAACAAATTATTGTAACAATGGAGTTTTCCTAAGCGATTTTTGTTAATAGTACACAATTTTTAATTATATTATTATGAAAATCAGTTCTTCCACCTTACCTCCTCTTTTATGTTAATATCCTTCTTTACATTTTAGACGTTGAAAAAGTTGGTTTAACTTGTGGTAATGATTAGATTTTTTTTGCATAAGTATGTATTTAATTTTTGTAGTATTTTTTTCATTGGGTCCAATACCAAATCTTACACACTCTGTATTTCTCACAGTCCCCACATAAAGGTAATCACACTAATTTATGATTATTCAAACAGAACCGTCAGACAATGTTTTTCATCAACATCAGGCAGCATTTTGATGAACATATATCCTGCCATCATACTCCGTCATTCATCAGACATGATATTTTTCCGATTAAAATCGGAATTCCGATTTTTTTGGGAATCGCCCGGGCGATGCGGGCGGGGCGAGCGGCGGGTGGGCGGGGCGAGCGGCGGGGGCGCGCGGCAGGCGGTGCGAGGGGCGATTTCTTGGTGCGCGGTGGGGGGTCTTTTTTGGCCGGCCCCGATTTTTTTTTCAGAGGGGAATATCATGCCTGTTCATACAAAATATGCACAAGAGTGCTATAAAAGATTTGGCCAATATAAACTAATCAATAAATGCTAAATTGTTTTGAATCTAACATTTTTCTGATTTGTTACTTCAGTTGTAAAGTTGCAAATCTAAGTTGTTACTCTTATACTTTGTTTAAAAAGTGAGAACAGAAGATATTCCTCAATATTTTCTTAAATTATAGAATAAAATGCAAAAATACAAAAATAGGAAGGCACTGTGGGGAGGAGAAGGGGAAAGAAAAGTGTGGGGGTGAGGGACCCTGCATATTATTCTATAATTTAAGAAAATGTTGAGAAATAAGCTGCATGTAATTACTACTTTGCAGAACGACTAAGGGCAGACGATGGACACCCTATGGTACTGAAGTTAAAAGATTGGCCTCCAGGAGAGGATTTTAGGGATATGATGCCTACAAGGTAAGTTACTTCTCTTGGATGATTGAAGACAAAGGTTGCTGATTTGGGGCTTGTATTGTTTTTCATATACATATATATATATATATATGATTGTGTCTAATGTAGTATTTGCCTATTTCAGGTTTGAAGATTTAATGGAGAATCTTCCTCTTCCAGAATATACTAAAAGAGATGGAAGACTGAATCTGGCATCTAGGTTGCCAAGTTACTTCGTGCGGCCTGATCTAGGCCCCAAAATGTACAATGCATATGGTGTGTAATTTAAAAGTTGTGTTTTGATGCCTATTAATAATCCTAAAAGTAAAAAAATATTTGGAGAGAGAAATGACTATGAATACAAAATTTTATAGATACATTTGTTTAGAATTTGTTTTTTAAAATTAAAAATTAATTTAATGCAAAAATGAAAATATGCATAGTAGTTAAAGTAATTTCTTAAGAATCCATAACTTTCACATTGAAATATGATGGGCTTGTGCACCAATTATTTTCTATATAAGATTTTGGTATCTCTTCTAGTATCCAAAGAGCTTTCATCTGCCAAATTTTCACTGTGGTTTAGGTGTTTCGACAATGACATCATTAAATAATTTATGTCATTTACATACATTTATATAATTAGCGCAACTGATACAATTGTTCCATACCATTTTTTCATTCTTTTTGAGATATAAGATACTCAACAATTTTTCCAACATCACATTTCAGTGATACCAGTTTTTCTTCATTTAGCCTTTCACAGCCTTATATTGCAGTGGGGAGAACCAAACCAATATGTATACCTAGTGGTCAGTATATTGTCTCTGCAATTTAATTTTTGGCTACATCTGTTTTTGTCCTAAGCATCTCTTTATTTTGTGACTATTGGAATTTTTAAGCCTAGGAAAGCAAAGCCTATTACTACTTTGGCTTTTTCTCTTCTTAGCATTGAATTAACACTAGTTGCTGCCATATCCTTAGTTATTTTAATAATGAGGGCCCAACTAACTTCTGCACTTCTTTCATCTTTAGTAAGAGGTTTCTTATGTGTTTCCTCCATGCCATACTTGAGATTATGACTGTTTCTTCCAGCAATTTTATTTCTAATTTCTTCTCAGAAATTTTAATCCCAACTTCCTCTCCAAGTTAAATATAAGGTGATAGTATAAAATTGTATAAAATTCCTATCCCAATTTTGAACTATTCGTTTGCTTCATTTTCCTTTTCAACTGTTGCTTCCTTTCACCATATAAATTTTTCATTACGCAGGTGATATGGCCCAGTACATCCATGTTTTTAAACATTTAAGATCTACATAATAAAAAGTCTTTGTATAATCAATAAAGCAAAAATAGATATATTTTTGGACTTTACTTACCTTTTGCATTAATCATTAGATGTTAGCAATGTGATCCTAGATGCCCTTGGCTTTTCTGAATCCAGTTTGTACATCAGGTAGTTCTTGTTTCAAGTACTGTACGTTGTTATCTAAATTGCAGAGTCTTAAGCATTACCTTCCAAAGATATGAAATATGTTCAATTATTCTGTAGCTTGCTCATTATCTAGGATTGCTTCTTTTGATATTTGGAATTTGAATCTACCTTTTCTATTCCTTTTGACTACTGTCAATGTTTTCTGTACATGCTTACAAAATATGTACTGTAACTCTTCAAACTGAAGCATCTGGTAAGATTTTAAACAGGTCTGCTGATATTTCACCAACTCCTGCAACTTTTATTTTTAGCAATATTTTCTAGGACTCATCTACTTCCCAGAACATCTTGACTAGTTCAGTGATGATATATTTATACATGTCATTTTTGGGGATGTGTTTTGTGTACTTCTATTGTATATTTATACAATATCTTTTTAATATCTTTTTGCCCTAGTCATTTTTATATCATCTTTACATGGGAAGATCTCTTGATTTCTGTAATTTTCTTAATTCCTTGGGCCTTTCAGTTTGATTGTTAGCCTCAATTTCTTTGTCTTGCTTATTTAAATACAACCCCTTGCCTCAATCTGCTGTTTCTTGGAAATGTTTAGTAGAGCAAATTTTCCTCTGTCTATATTACCGTATTTGCCGGCGTATAAGACGACTGGGCGTATAAGACGAGCCCCCAACATTTCCACTCAAAATATAGTTTTTGTTATATACTCGCCGTATAAGACGACCCCCCCACTTGGAGGCATGCTTTTCAAGGCAAAAAAGTCGTCTCATACGCCGGCAAATACGGTAAGTTGTAACACTTGGGGTATTCTGGATATAATTCTTGATTGACACCCCCAACCCCTTTCCCCCAAACTTACAAAGCCACCAAAATGCTTTAGAGAGGCAGCTTCGCCTTTCTCAGGCTGGCACTCAATTCCTCTCCCTTTCTTTGTGACAGCCCCCGCGTGCGTGCCATCAGGACTCCAAGGGTGGGGGATGGACAGCTGCCAACTCACTCACTCTCTCTCTCTCTCTCTCTCTCTCTCTCTCTGTGTGTGTGTGTGGTGTGGAGGGTAATTCCGGCTATCTCTGGCCTCCGCTCGGTTTTAAAGTCGCTTGGCCGGTTCCCAAGTCGCAAGCGCGCGCTGGCCGGTGCAGGGGAGGCAGATCTTTCTCTCTTAAGCGGGGAGGGGAGGAGGGGACAAGAGGAGGGACGGGACGGGACAGGGGGCGGGAGGAGGGCGCTCGCCTTCTTCCACCGCCCACCGGACCCTTTTCTTCCCAAGGGGACCCTGGAAAGCAGCTCGGGAGCTGGGTGGCCCTGCCCAGCGGGGTCCCATCAGGAACTTCCTGAGGACATCCCCCCCGCCCCAAGCACAGCCCTCCCGGTCTTTCAAAGAGGGAGGGAGAAGCGGGAGGAGCAAATTGCCGCCCCCCGCCCCGCTGCCCAGAAGGAGGGGCGCCACAGTACACCCCCACCACCTTCTCCCCCCCCACTCCCTGGGCCATTACGCGGCTCGGGGCTGGCTGGGCGAAGCGGCCCCGCCAGAGACCCTCCCGCTCCACCCCCACCCCACCTCCAGATTGGCCTCCGCAAGCGCCCCGAGCCGGGCGGAGGGTGGGTGGGTGGGTGGGAGGAGGAGGAAGAGAGACTCCGGCTGGGCTTGAAGGGGCTTCGCAAGTTGCGGAGCTCCGCCCCCGTCGCTCTTGCACCGAGTGACAATGTATTTACCGGCGTATAAGACGACCCCCCCACTTGGAGGCATGTTTTTTAGGGCAAAAAAGTCGTCTTATACGCCGGCAAATACGGTAACTTCTGAGCTCTGCCTTTTTTCAGTTACTTTTAGCATGTCAGGTAGTTTGTCTTCTTTTGCTTTTGGGGATATTGTTGTTTGCTTCATCTTTAATGATGTCACAAATTTCAGTCTAGAATTCTCTAGGCACTCTTATTTATCAGAGTTAATTCATTAAATATATTCTTTCTCTTTGTCATGTGAAGAATTGCTGAGTTCTTGTTAATCTGATAGCTTTATTTGTTTTTCTTAGCTTAAGTTTAATTTTGCAAATAATTGTGATTTGCCCTGAAGTCAGCAACAAATCTTGTTTTTGCTGACTAAATATAGAGTTTTCATCAATCTTTTGCTTGCTGTGTATATAATCAATTCGTTTTTTGTGTTGCCATCTGGTGATGTCCATTTATAGTGGTTGGATGATTGTTGGGAGAGAGTGAGAGATTTGACAGCACTCTTCCCTGCTTCATTTCTTATTCTAGGACCATTTTTCCTTTATTCCAAAAGCTTTTTTATTTCCAGCATTAGTAATCCAGTCTCCTATAATTAACATGAGATTTTTTTTTGGTGGTGTTGACAATGCAAGTTGGCCAAATAATTGTTCACTTTTCTCTGCATCAATGATTGGAGTATAGATTTGGATCAGTTTATTATTAGTTGGCTTGCTAATTTAATATTAGTTGAAGTCTGCCATTTTTGCATTATATTCAAGAAGTGACATTCTTTGGTTAATAATGATAGCTATTTTATTTCTTCTATGATTTTCTTGGTCAGCAGTAGAAGACTTTAATGGAAAGTGATCCATTCCAGACCTGTTTCATTTTGCATATTTGCAGAATATCAGTGTTTTATCGTATTTCAGCTCTGATTGCATCAAGGTTCATGGCTCTGACATTCCACATTGCAGTGATGTGCATGTTTTCAGCTTCAAACTTTTTTTTTTTTTTGCCTCCAGGAGCTACATGTCATTTTAGGTAGCCTTATCCGTTGGCTATCGGGGTGACTCTTGCATGAGGACAGATTCTCCACAGTTTAATTCATAGCATTATTTGGGATGCACAAGCCCCTTCAGCACTATAGGGTAATGATCTATATAAAGCGACAAGGAGTTGTCATTCCATAATAGGGAAAATAGTTAAGCAGTTATTTGCTATACAAAGATAAAAAATACTAATACCAGTAGGATAAAAATTATGTCTATTGCATTGTTCATAGGACTAATAACGGCAGAAGACCGAAGAGTTGGTACAACTAATTTACATTTAGATGTATCAGATGCAGTTAATGTTATGGTGTATGTTGGAATTCCTATTGGGGATGGTTCCCATGATGATGGTAAGCTTTCTTCCAAGCTGATTTTTTTTTTTCAGGGAATAACTTGAATTTCTGTTTGTTTTTATTTTCGTTTGTTCCTATGTTGCCCTTTCTGCTTATTATATTTGTGAACAAAAATCATCTGAAGAACAATGGGAGGAATAAACAACTATCTAGTCACAAGTGATTTTTTTAGTTTTGTATAGGTATATCAACGCAATTCTCCCGTTGATACCTGTCCAGGCGTCATGAGGAAGATTATGAAATGTGCCTTTGCAGTATTAACTGAGCAAGGCAACGCATGAACAAAATGCCCTAATCATACATATATCGCCTGAATTAAGAATGGCTTTGTGAGTTTTCCCCCCCCAGGATAGATAGGCAGGCATGCTCTTGAGCTTATAAAAATACATTATCTTAAGACAATTAAGTTGTACATAAGGTAATTGGTGTTCTGTTATCAGAAGAAAATACAGTTACAGGCTTTTCCTGGCTCTCGCTTATGGTATGATGATTTATATCAGAATTGCTTATTTCTTGCACATTGTAGTAAAAAAGCGATATATGTTATTGAATTGGATTTCAGAGGTGTTGAAAACAATAGATGAAGGAGATGCCGACGATGTTACAAAACAGCGAATCCATGAAGCAAAGGAGAAGCCAGGGGCACTGTGGCACATATATGCGGCTAAGGATGCTGAAAAAATCAGGGAGCTTCTTCGGAAGGTAGGGAATTTTACATAGAAAATTTACCATAGGTTTTGCTTTTCCAAATAATTTATGTTAAACTTCTGAGATTTACCTAACTCTTAAATTTACCTTTATAAAATTAATATTGACATCTGGTCATACATTCAGCAATTTTAGTCCTGAAAATTGGATCCCCCCCCCATTGCCATAGAACTGATTAAAAACGCTAATATTCCAGTAATGAAATAATTGCAAATAGGAGGTGTTCCTTCAGCTGTCTAGTAGATTTAGAATAATTGAATCCCAATACATTTTGCACTAGGTTGGTGAAGAACAGGGGCAAGAAAATCCTCCTGATCATGATCCAATCCATGACCAAAGCTGGTATCTGGACCAGGTCCTTCGTAAGCGTCTGTACGAGGAATATGGAGTGCAAGGTTGGGCAATCGTGCAGTTCCTGGGAGATGCTGTATTTATTCCTGCAGGGGCTCCACATCAGGTGAGTGGAATTTTGGGCCATCCTACAGAACACTGGGTTTTTAAAGAGAGACACCGGTAGCACCTTCATGAACATTTTGCATTTGGCAATCTATTCACATTTATCTCCTCTCTTCTCTACTGTTTTGACTGTTCTGCATTCACCTCCGGTGCCTCCTCTGCCATCCCTATGGCTCCAGCTGTCCTTTGTCCTCTGCTGCTGTTCTGAGATCCATATACCTGACAGAGGGTGCAGCCCATTCCAAGCACAGTAGAAACTCATCTGCAGAAGGGAGTTGTTGAAGGCCAGCCCAGGGAGGAGGCAGTAGGATGGGCCAGCAGAACAGGCATGGCAGAGGTGCAGGTTAGCAGCTCCCTGGGCAAAGCTGACAGCTGTTGACATTGTGCAGGTCCTTGCAAAGCCTTGCCTGACAGTAACCCCTTCATTCAGGAAGCTGCCACCTTACTTCCACTGCCAGTTTGGCCCAGGGAGCTCTCTTTGGCAGACAGATCCCCATCACCCTGCCACATTCACCACACATGTCCTGGGACCACCCTCATGTCTGGCACCTGGATCACAGGCCAGCAGCAAGAGGACAGAATGTCAACAGGGAAGGTGGGATCAGTAGAGTACAGGTAGTCAAGAGGACAGAAATAGATAGAGGTGAGCTAGACAGATGGGGAAATAGAAGCAGAGGTGAGGGCAGTGAACCTCATCTGCTGAAGGGAGCACATCAGCTCTAGCTGGGGAGGAGGCAGCAGCAGGATGACAGGAAAAGCGTGAAGTGCTTGCCTAATGACAGCATAGTCTCATCTAATAACCACAATAAGGACTACTGGAACTGCCATCACTAAGCCTCACAGTTACTTGACGTTTTGCCAAAGGACTACTTCGCTTAACTATGAAAATTCTGGTCCCAATTAGTATTAAGAGAGAACTACCTGTATCCAGTAATTAATACACAGATCTTGACTTATGATCATTCATTCAACAACTGTTCAAAGTTAGGATGGTGAAGGGACTTTATGACCTGTGACTGAAGTTATGGACATTGTAGCACCCATGTATGTAATTGAAATCTGAGTGCTTGGCAACCTGTTCACACAGTCAGTTGCCAAGCACCCTACGAACATGTGATCACCATTTGCAATCTTCCCTAATGGCTTCCCCGAAAGTCAGTGTGGAAGCTGGCAGGGAAGGCTGCAAAGTGGACTGGCTGAAAAAGGTCTGTGCTGAAATCCAAGCAGGATTTTCAGCCATGGAGGATTTTTAGCCCCAGAGTGGAGAGGCAAATATCAGCTCACAAGATTGCTTAACAAGCACAACCAGGAGTTACAGGATTGCAGTAATTGAGCAAAGTGGCTAGGTGACATCTCGCTTAATGACTGCTTAATGAATTTCAACAACTGAAATTCTTGTCCCAGTTGTGGTTATAAGTTTAAGATATGTTATTTCAATAGACTTTTTTTTCATCAGTATCATTAATTGTCCATGAGAACTTTAAAATAGTATCCATCTATTTAGATTTCTTATACCAGATACAGTGGTGAATATGTTGGATTCTTAGCGTTATGGGGTTGTTATGCTACCGTAATTGTTTTTCTTCTTTATTCAGGTTCATAATTTGTATAGCTGCATTAAAGTAGCAGAAGATTTTGTATCTCCAGAACATGTGAAACACTGCTTCCGTCTGACTCAAGAATTCAGGCACCTATCTAATACTCACACAAACCATGAGGATAAGCTGCAGGTAAATGTTTGCAAATCTCCTGGTAGAATATCTGATGAATATCATATTTGTAAGAAGGGAGGAATACCATTTGCAAAAAAATAAATTGTGCTACTTAAAAAAATTATAGAAAAGGGAGGTATTTTGTGGCCATATTAAGTACATGAATTCTAGGGCACAGCTATGTCAGTTTCAGGTTTATTTCAGACCATTTCATACAATATGTTGGCTTCTCATAATACTCTCTCCAATTAAAAGATAAAGATTCTACACTTGCACAGAGCTTATTGGAGACTTTAAAAAATGAAATATTCTGGGATCTTCTCATAGTTACAGGGAAGAAACTCCTTTTTCGTCCTTAGTTCCCTTAAGATAGACACAGTGGTAAACTGTTTAGAGGTTTGATGTTTGCAAGCTGAATGCAGTTTTTATTCAGAAATGCCAGCGGTTAAAAGGTTGCGGTTGCAGTTCTGTAATTTCCTAATAAAGAGTACAAGAATTTTTGAGAGTTATGTTTTTTAAAATTACATTAGTATTGATGTATTGTTGTTGAACATCACAATTTCCATGTATGTGGAAATTAAAGTAATTCAACTTGTTTAGCATGCCTTTTGTAAAGATCTTAGCATATGCAGAATAGTATCAACAAATTGCATATGGATATTAATGAGAAAATCAGCTAATTACTTGTACATAAGCTTTCTACTGATAGCTCCATCAATTTAGTTAATGTTCTTTCCTTATTCATGTTCAAACTTTATAGGCAATTGATAAAGAACACTGATAATTAGTAATGGGTCAGATGGAAACGTTTCTTTATGGTATTATTCTTCATGACATTCATTCATTACGTTCTCTTTGCAGGTGAAGAACATTATCTACCATGCAGTCAAAGATGCTGTTGGCACACTGAAAGCTCATGAATCCAAACTGGCTAGATCTTAGGAATGGATGATTCTGACCCCCTCCCTCCCCCGGAGTTGTTTTTTGTTTTTTTTTGCTCACAGTATAGAAAGGGGATGCACGTGGCTGCCTCTGAAGGACTCTGAAACCTCTCACTAAGAGATGCCATGGCATTCATTACACTCTCCAGCCACTGCCTATATGCTGCCTCAGTCTTGAATATCTAATAGATGGTCACAATAATATACAGAATTCCTGACGAATGAAGGGTGCCGAGTCCCTTTCTGGTGGCCTTTTGCAAATTGAAATTGTACGGAAACCAGATGGTGTTCCTGCATATGATGAATAGAAAAATGTGTGACTCTTTTTTCGTACCTAATTAGTCTTTCCAGTCAGTTAGGAAGAATGATGCAAGGTTGGACATTTTATTGAAGACCTAAATAGCTAGCTCTGAACGATTATACACGCCAGCATCCTGGCTGCAAGAACATGAACATGAGATCTCCTGTCTCTGACATAGCTAAGGAAAAAAGAAATTGTTCTTCATGCTCCCTTTAAGAGTTCTTTATACACTGTAGAAATGCAGAAACACAGAGAGAAACCACTGATTTTCCCAGAGGGCTCCAGGATTTTTTTAAAAAAATGTGTATTTAGTGAAAAACTAGGTTTGTAGTGAAACAGTATTTCATGAAAGTAGATATTTTTAGAATTTGAAATACCACAACAGTTCCTGGACTACAAGGAAAGGCACATTGTGTTTAGTCTTCCTTTCAATAAAACTTTTCCAGAAATTATTCTTAGAAATAATTCCCAATAGCACAATTGGCCTGAGGAGAGCTAAAAATAATTTTACTTCCAATACAAAGATATAAAGGGGGGAAAAGAACTTTTATGTTTTGGAGGTGTTGTACATCTCTCCCTAAACTGGTAAATACCAGTTATCAGTTTTAGATTGGGACTACTGCTTCCCAGAAATAATTTTCAATATCAGCTTTGTCCAGAAATATTTTCAGTAAAATGTTCCTGCTTGATAGAGTTGTATTCAGAATTGTCACCATTGAACTGATGGATTCCATTGTTTTACTGTTCATTGGGACTGTATCTACCTTCTATCCAGCTGTACTGTAGTGCCACCTGCAGGCCTGTTAATATGTTCACGGTTATTTCATTTTTAAAAAAATAAAAGTCATTTACTGTAGTAGACTTGTCTTTGACCTTTATTGTACCTCTGCTAGAAGCTCATGAGGAGATGTAGAAATAGGAAAAGCAAGCATGTCTATCGCTTTTGAACAGATAGTTTTTCTTCTTTCTATGCTCTTTCTATACCCACAAATCCCTGTGAGCTACATACATGCTTTTGAGAAAGGCAACTCTGAAGTTTGATGCATTGTTTCCCTGCCACATCTGATAATCAGAAATCCTTTTTAGGGAGCAGACAAACCTACAACTTGATTGAAATAGTCAGATACTAAAGCCTTGTTTGTATTTCTGTGGATATCTTCCACTGTACCACTTGACACTTGACTCAAAACATCAAAATCTCAATAAATGGTAAAAATTGTTCACAGAGCGCAGGAAAAAACAAGGTTGCAAAAAAGTTACGTTTGCATCTATTTATAGCACTGTTTCTCGATTCATATTTGTACTTTCTTTGCATAATTTATCTGAAGTGCAAATTTGGTTTAAAGTCTCCCGAAAGTATTCTGCATCTAATTGTAGCTAGAATTTTTTAAATTTATGAAATTGGTAACTTTCATGATATCTATTCTTGTCTTATGTCCCAGGCTTGAAGGCTGATACAGCCATATCCATTTCTTTAAATGCTTTTTTCCCCAGCTTTCTCAAGACATTTCACCAAAGCCAAGAGCAAATTTCTTATTTTTTTCCTCTGATTTTATTGGATAATTTAATGAGAAATTAGTTTCCTCTGCCAGAAACTAACAAAGTTACTTTTTTATGAATATTCTTAAAATATTTCCTTTTTAAACATTTTTTCCAGAAACCTAAATCTATTAAGGGTATAAAGCCTTTTGTGTTAAAACTAATTTTCAGATCTCTAATCTTATGGAAGAGGAAAGGCTGTAAACATGCATGACCTTATTTCAGGTCCATAATTAAACACAGCTATAAATCATATTGCCATACTAATTATAAATCACTGTTTTCATTAATAAACTTTGGCATGAATACTGTGTTATGAAATTTTATTAAGGATGCCACCTTTTCAAATAATAGTACAATATTCTGCCTCAAAATCATTTGGACAAAATAATTGTACAGTTTCTGTGAAAGGATTCCCTACTCATCACTACCATCAGAATACGTTTGTTTCAAATCCAATTTTGAAATATCCTGGTTAGAATAATAGTTATGTCTTCAGGATGGGACTGACAATTACCAGGGTTTCACAATCTTGACATGTCCTGCTGAAAACCTTTGGTATGATTAAGAGAACTTCAGAAGTTCTTCCAAATGTTTAATATGAAAAAAGATACATTACGTATACTACTGGAGAAGGATTTTTAACTGAAATTAGCATGAAACTCAAAGGGCCAATGTGGAAACCTGAAAGAAGTGAGATCCTGGTTTATACCAAATGACACGTTGCTACTGTTTGCCATAGTGGCTAGTGCTGCTTTAGTAATATGGACAGGCAAAGTATGTATATTCTGCACCCTGGAGAGGTGTGCCCTGTGTAATCTGGTGAAATTTATGAAAGTTCACATTGCAGTGTTTACTATTCAAATAGATGTATTCTAGTGGATCCTATAGTTTGAGAATTCTCTGGAACAATAGATGTCAATATCACCTTCAGCTAAAACTCCCTTAGAGAATCTGAAAAGCCGGATGTGTTTCTATCCTTCTCCAATATTCCTTCCTCAAAGTTAAATATACCCATTCCTTCACTCCCGCCTTATAGGGCTTAATCTGTCATTTTTGTTTTTTCTTGTTTCCCTTCTACAAAACTATTCTAATTTGTCTTTAATTTTCCTTAAATTGCAATTTCCAGAATTGTACACAGTTTTGAGATGGTAATCTGAATAATACAGAATGGCTATCTCCTTTTTCCAAAAAATAAAATTTAATATAAACCAAAATGAGTACAGAAAAAAATAGAAGAAAATAAAAAGATGTGTAAAAAAATATTTCCCCCTTCGTCACAAGATAAATGATTTAAATAAAGCAATTATATTTCTTTTTAAACAACCTTAATCTTTAATCCTTTCAAATAATGTCCTAAAACTTGATTATTTTTCTTTGGTTCCTATTCACAAATTTCAAATCTTTAACAAGCCTCTTTTCTTATCTGAAATACCCCAAAATTATCTAGATCACTCCCAATTTGTTATTTGTATCTTTTTTAATTAAGACATCAGTCATTTTCTTTTGTAGGTCTAGTCTAGTCTAATTTTCCGTATTTTTGTAGCCTGTCATTTTTAAATCTGTGTTCAGATCAGTCACAGTCTTGTCAGGTAACACTTGTCCCCCTTCCATAACATCTTTTAAATGTACTGTAGTTCATCTACAGGAGCGTGCATTCTTAAAATTAACTAATGGGTCCAAAATCTCAAAGTTTTTTTCAAGGTTGCTGGCATTTTTTCTCCTGCAAGAAGTTTGATTATGGTTCTGGTTCTAGCACTTACAGCAGAAAGTGCATGAAATCAACACTGAAAATTATATTAAGATAGCTCCAAGGGAAATCTGTTCATACCTGTTCCAATGCTTTTTAAAAATTCTTGTTATATATGTATGCTGGTGTGGGTGTGTGTGGGTGTAGATTTTTTCTTTAAAGTTTGCCTTTTAACAATTGTAGTCCGTGTACTTCTAGAGTAAAAAATCTAGTTCATTTATTGAACATCACAAGAGATGGACAGCCGCATATTACAGAGTGTTGCATTAGTGAACACTCCTAGTCCCTCCTATTATTCTCTTCCTATGATTCTTTTAATCTCACTGGATATATTACAGTTGGTCATCTTTCTACTCTTTCATTTTTGCTAGCACAATTTCAGGTGTGGCAAGATAATCATACATGAAGAGTGTGGACAGCAAAATATGCTGTGAGATGGTCCTCATCAGCTCTTTATGAATATTGCACTCCAATCATAAAGAAGAGTAATGCTCCAGTAATTCGGGGTGAGGGAAGGGCACTAGCTAGGCCAGATGTTATTCTTTTTCAGATTACTGGCTTGTCAACAAAAATAGTTTCCAATTACTGCAAGATTGACAGCCCCAGCTTACTATACAGTACTCCCCTGCTATATACATTACTCTTTGTGTATGCACGCTGCCGCGTTTCTTTCGCTTTAGAAAAGGGAAACTTCGGGGAAGAGAGTCATTTCCTCTCCTTCCCCTGCGCTTTGAGGGCTTTTTGTCCTCCTATCACGCACGATGAAAACCCTCGTGAAAAGGTATGCTAATCCCTCTGGGGATTAAAGGAGCTTTTATCCCATGCCGAATGTTGCCCTGGGCTAAACCTTTCCCACGTCCCGTAAACACCCAGGTCCTGTAAGCTCTCCCAGGCCGGGGCTGAAGGGGGACTTAACGTGCTCCCCGCGCACCGCTTTGCTCTTCTAGGGCGGACCCCGGTCTGTATAGCCAGCAAAGGAGTCTCGTTTGACGCAATGCCGCCCGGCCCACCCAGTTCAGGGTCTGCTACCGGGAAGAAGAGAGGAGGGGCGCGCGCATCCAGTCGAGCTCTCCGGGATGCGGTGCGCGGTTCTTTTCCCTCCGACGCACCGGTTAGCCCCTCCCCTTTAAGGGAACGGGGCGGGGCTACGCTTGCTGCAGAAACCTGCCCTTTAAGAGCGCCCCGTTTTTTTCTTTCGCTGCTGCTGCTGCAGCTGGTGCTGAAAGCCAGCTCCCAATCGCCGCCGTTGCCGGAGAAGTCTGGGCCTCGCTTTGCCATGGTGTCCTGGATCATCTCCCGGCTGGTGGTGTAAGAGCGTGAGGGCGGCTAGGCGGGAGGCCCTGTCTGTGCCGTTGCCAGGCAACGGGATGAAGATGGGGACCGGGGGCTCGCGCGCGGTCGGGCAGGGCTGCCCTCCCCGGGGCTTTAAGCGCGTGCACCCCCTCTTTTTTTCTTTTTTTTCCCCTTTCTTCCCCCGGGGTAGCTTGCGGGTGTGGAGGTGGGGCGGTGGGGGGGAGGCCAGCGCTCCTCGCCCTGAACCCTGGAGGCGGAGAAACCAGACGGGGCGTTGCCTGATGTCCGGGGCTCCCTCGCCACCCTGGGGACGAAAGTCTGCCGCGAAATAGACGGCCGGGTGAGCCAGCCTGACGGGCCTGGCCGACGAGGAAGGGAATTGTGGATGCAGCAGGTGGGAGAGAGCAAAGCGCCTCGTTGCTCGGCCTGCTCGTTGGGCCGGTGGAGGTGCGGGGGGGAGGGGGGACGACCTGGACGTCGCTCAGGTTTGCAAGAGTCTGACGGCCACCCCGAATAACTGGAACCTCACTCTCTCTTCCTTCCTTCCTTCCCTCTCCTCCCTCCCCCCCCCCCCCTCTTGTTTGTTTTTATTTTTAAAACTCTGGTTGCAGTCTGGTTTTTGGCACCCTGTACCCTGCCTATTCTTCTTACAAAGCTGTGAAGACGAAAAATGTGAAAGAATATGTAAGTGCAAGGCAGCCATCATATTTGTTTTAAGGACTGATCTTTCTCTTCTATCGTTCATGGTTTGTCTCCTGTTGGGGGATGACCAGGTTTTGTGAACGGGCAAAAAGCTGACATTTCATTTTCTGTATTCTTGTTAATATGTTAGTTAAAACCAAAGGATTTTATTTATTTGATGTGAACATACTGTGGAATGGAATTGACATGCTTGTTCTGCTCTTAAGCAATTTTTCCCATATAATGACCACACAGAGAGAGAGACACACACACATAGGATAAGCTGATGATGTCACTATATGCTTCTTCAGCTAATCACTTCTTGCTTTTAACTTGTAAAAGTTAAAGCTAGTATAAACTACTAGCTATTCCAAAGCATCATGGTACACTGTCTTTGGAATAGCTACGGGTACCATCTTGCAGGCTTCAGCCAATTTAAACACCGTACTTTGCACATTAAAACAATGACTATGTCACTAACATATTTGCACAAAGCATGGGAGGCTAAAAGTGCTTTTGTATGCCCTGGTGAAAACACAATGCTCAGTTTTGCTGCCAATTTTAGTGGTTGTTTTTATTGTAGCACTGGAGTATTGGAGGTTTGTCACAAGTACTTGGCATTGGGTGTGTCACCTGACAATTATTCAGAAATTAAGAAACAAAAATCTATTTAAAATGAAGGTTTCTTAATTAGACTGTAATGTACAGTATTGAACATCCCTAGACCACTTTTAGCCATTCATAAAAAGATTAATAGATTGTTTTTTGCTATAGGGAAGTTAAAGCAAAAGAATATATGTCAGGAAAAATGAGAAATAGGTAAACAATTGGAAAAGGAAGAAGTATGGGAAACATTGAAATTAGTCTCAAGAGCAGTGCTGCTTTTTTACAATGTTTCTTATTGTATTGCTTCATGCTTCGCTATACAAAATGAAGTCTATACTTTATAGGATCATTATTTATTTATTTATTTAAACTTGCATTCTGTCGAACTCTCAATGACTCTGGGTAGAATATAAATCTCTAATACATGTAATTGGAACTTTCACAAAAGTTCATTGTAGAAAAAAATAATCAATTAGTTGCATTTGAAAATCTGGGCTAAAAGTCTTCCTAGAGCAGCTTTTGGCGGTTTGCAAATTGCAAAATATTCCCACTTTCACATTATTAGCTTTCATAAACAATACCTATGAAATTATTGTTGGCCTAGCATGGATTATATTATTAATATTATTTATGTGATCCACAAGTGTTAGTTATTTTCAATATTTCATGCTTTTTTCTGAGAACTAAATGGTAGAGGTACCAAATGGGACATATCAGAACATACGTCTTTGCATGTTTGTTCATTGTGATACCCATGCTTCCAATTTTTAAGGTCATGCTTGTTCTGAGAGGAAACTAGAACATTATTTTTCTAAAGGGAATGTTTATGCCAGTTTTGTTATGTGATATTTACATTCTTTAGCTGTCCTAAATTAGTTTTTCATCAACAAGAGGTCAAGATAATTCAAAAAAGCATTTGCCCTTTTAAAATAAATGAATATTAAAGACATCTGTCAAATACACCAGCAAGATATGTCAGCAACGTATTTTGACCTTTTTATTCAAACAATTAATAGTGTGACGCTCAAGATTTTCTTTCTTCCAAAGATTGTTCCACCAAGGAAATTTTGAAAAAGCCTTTGTCATGGTGTTCTAAAGCCTTAGTTACTTACTTAGAATAGGCCCACTATACAAACTTTTTGATGACTAATGTCTTTTTTTTTTTTGTCCTAAGAGTCACAAAATGGGACTGGTGGCAATACTACCATCATGGAGGGCTAAATTGTATGCCCATTGTCTGGAACTATAAATTACAAAAACCTCTTTATTTTGCCCAAACTCACCCCCAAAATCTTTTAAAGCTATGAATACCCTATTTAATATTACTGGTACCAAACCAGGGTTGTTCTGAAGCCAACACAAATGAGAACTTCAAAGCTGCATGTAATAATAAAGTTATGGGTTGTTCATATGTTCTGTAAAAAAAAAATTGAAACATCTTGTGGGGGCAATATATGGAGAAAGAAAGATAGTTCTAAATATTCTGGACCATATCAAGGCTTCCAATCTTTTTAGACCAGGGACCCATTTGACATTGTAAAACCCTGCCAGGAGTAAAAATGGCTTCATAGAAAACTTACCTATTTCTAAAGCCACTATTAATATAAGCTGGCACAAAACACCAACTTACCAGAAGCGAACTGGTTCCTGTCATTCTTTCTGGGCTTACCAGAAGCGAACTGGTTCCTGTCATTCTTTCTGGGCTACAAACTTCTGATTTCATCCACAGATTATTGCCCTTTTTTTCTAGGCTTGCAAAGAAATGATTAAGATTAACCCATCCACCATTTTTATTTTCTAAAAGCACATATACTTTAGGTCTTTGCAGTATCTAAAGACATTTTTATATAAATAAGATCTGTAGACTGGTGCTTTATTTGCAATATTAAAGAGAAAGAGAAGAAGGAGAAGGAGAGACTTCTTCAGGAGTATGATGTAGCTGATCAGAGATGGTATTCAGCCGGTTCTGACCAGTTCTGGAGAACCGGTAGCAGAAATTTTGAGTAGTGTGGGGAACCAGCAAATACCACCTCTGACTGGAGATTTTACCGTATCCTTCCCCTGGCATGCCCACTAAGCCACGCCCACAGAACTGGCAGTAACATTTTTTGAATCCCACCACTGCAGCTGATGTTCAAGGCATGTTACCTATAATTCCAGAAGTAGCAATAGCTATCAAAGCTAGTAGCTATTACTAGCCCATGACTAGCCCAGCCTCCATGAAGTTGTCCAATCCCCTTTTAAAACTTCTTGACTTGGAGGCTACTACCATATCTGATTCTAACTACATGTTTATAGAGATTTTTGTCCCAACGCAACCATTCAAAGAGCTGGTCAGGGCAATTACAATAATTTTAAATCTTGATTGTATATAGTAGATGTCTATTAAAATACAATAGTAAAATGTATTAATTAAAATACAATAAAGTCAGGAAATTCAAGTGATACATTGGGCATATCACCAGCTTGTTGATCGCATTGTTAAGCATTTCTTTAAAACCTGTCTCAGTAGGATGTGGGGGTAGGTAGGGCATTGTAATAGAAAATGTAACAGAAAGAACCTTAAGGAATCTGACAGCACATTTTCCTTTAGGGAAGCCTAATAATTTACCCAAACTAAGTGTGGTAAAATAATAATGGAACTTATGTAAAGTAGGGCACCTAGGCTTCTATTACCTAGTGTATGTTGCATGTCCTGAAAAACATCTCGGATGTTTTATTTATTTTATTTATTTAAAACTTGTATACAGCTGCCCATCTTATAACAAAGCTGGGTAGCTCCCAGTCAAAAATTGTCTTTACCATCTTGGAAAAGTCTTAAGTGTACAATAGAAAACTTTTGAAAAGTGTACAATAGAAAACTTACAAAACTTACTAAATATGAACTGGCAGTGGAAAAAGGCAAATTCCATCCTAAGAAATGATTGGAATAAGATTGAAATAAAACAGTTATTATCTGTGTTTTTCTATAATAAAGTCATTATTCCTTGCCAAGAATGTGCTCATTGTAAATGTTTTTGGTTGCTCTTAAAAATACAAAAACTAAATACGGAAAGCTATGTCATTGACCATTATCCATAAATGGCCTTCAATACCAGTTGTCCAGTTTTCAGGATAATTATCCCTCAGTGATAATCATTTGTGTCAGTCCCTAAACTAGGTTTCAGACTTACGTCTCTGATCCTGATTTAAAAGGATCAGAGTTTGAAATGCATTCCTGCCACTAGAATCTAAAATAGGTTTGAAAATCTGTTGATTACCCAGAATGGTGGCACAAAGCTATACCTAAATTGCTATAGATTAGGAATACCAACAACTTTTCAGCATCACCTGACTAACCTCTTAGTTATTAATGAAAAATATTTTCTACCAAAAATTGTATATTTATTATAAAATATGTATATTTTATAAATAAATATATAATACTGTATTTAGATATTCTATACCCCAAATCTTAGGAAATTGTGTATCAGAAACTAGAAAGTTCATCTACTTGGAGTTTGCTTCTGATCACATGCAATAGAAACAAATTACCACTGTCCACAGTCTATATAATAAAATATGAACCCATGCCAAACACAGCATTAAATAACCTTCCACAAATCATGGCTGCTATTAAAGCCACTCCTTATGAATGAAGTAAGAACTGGAAGATAGAAAGAGCAGAAAGCACTGTAACGTATATGAAATAATCTGATCAATTTAGGAAAGTTTGTAGTTGACAGTTAAAAACTAAGCTGGAAGAACAGAAAATTATGTGGAGGTGGTGGAAGAGTAGAAATTGTTAATTGAGAAGTGGAAGGAGATAGTGGACATTCCTTAATTGGGAGGCTTTGGTGCAATACTCATGCTTTTATCACTTCACTTTTGAATTACTGATATTTATTATACATATTAATGCTCTTGAAGTTCATTTACAAGCTACACCATCCACAGTGTAGCAACTCAAATAGAGACTGGCTCATTTCAGTTTGTCGTATACCCCTAATATGGGATTCTACTGGTTGACAGATACAGTTAAAATTGCCTTCTGTGAATGGAGTCTGCCTGTATGATGTGTTTTCACAGGGAAGATGGCCAGAGGGAACCCAAGGACAAATTTGTCCCTTGGTGACCTCTCTTCTTGATAATAGTGCAGCTCCAGAGATGAAAAAATGAGCTTGTTCTTTCAGAAGGCCATTGGGAATGGTGTGGAAATTGTTCCTGAAAGTGTGGTACAAGGCAGTGCATTGATAATTATGGTATTATTGAAAATTATGATAGTGCTTATTTACTTTCATCTTATTATAATTTGGTTATTGATTTACATTTACTCTGTAATACTGTAGAGAGGAATGTAAGCAATTCAAAGTCAGTTTATATTTGAAGCCACATGTAAGATCAAAACCCAGTCACTATTGAGCTTTGAAAGGCTGCCTGAATAAAATTGTTTTCACAGCTTTACAAAATGTCAGTAACTTTGTCTGAATTCAGAAGTAGGCAGACGTAGCCTGAATGCTACTTGGATGAGAGCCTACCAGGGAATTAAAAGACTATAGGCTAGACTGGAAAGTTGAAAAGCATCCTGGAATAAAAGCAATGGTAAGCTCTGCACTATTGCCATGAAAATGCTCTGATGGTAGTCACAAGGAGTTAAACTCATTCGGATGGAGGCTTTATCTTTTTATAGTAAGAACAGGCATTTGCAAATCTGAATCAGCTGTTCAAAAATATTTTCAATAGATTCCTTGTGGTTTATTTGATTGGAGACTAAAAACTTCTCTAATTCAGAAAGAAAATTATGTAGTAGCTTAGAATGGAGATGGGTAAAGGGGGATATATAGATTAATGTTTGGACATGGCAGTGTTGAAAATTCTTCTTTTTCTTTGTAATGTTAGAACACATATTCATCAGAAAGAAAGAAAAACAATTCTGCTAGATCAGACCATCTTAGGTCTGCACTGTGTTTCTCACAGCTGCCAACTAGATTCTATTGGAATGTTTGCAACTAGGAGACAGACAAATATTCCTCTCTTGCACTTTTCCCAGCTCTTTATATCCTTTTTCAACTGTAACAACCAAAACTGTATACATTATTCTAAATCAGACATGGATTTATAGGAGCATTAAAATATTGGCATGTTTATTTTCAATTCTTTTCTTCAGAATTTGCATATTTTATACTTCATGTGCACTGACTCAGCACAGTATCTTCACTGAGTTATCCAGTATGATCCCAATATTTTTTCCCTAGTTGGTTACAGACAAATCAGATTCTGTCAGTGTAAATGTGAAGATGGGAGGGTGGTTGTTTTTGTTTTGCTCAAGCATGTTATCTGTTTACATATATTTAAACTGAGTCACCTTAATAATTTGGCTGACCACATACCCAGATTATAGAAATCCTTCTGGAAATCTTCAGAATCACTTGGATTTTGTTTTCCTTAAGAGTTTAATAACTGTAATTTTATCAGGTGAAGTTAAATATAGAAAGATTCAGTAATGGTCGAAAGATACAACGGTCACACATTTAAATGTCTATGGAGATTATCAGTCATCCAGGTCATGGTTGTCCCAAAGGTGCTTTTTCAAAAGGCAACCTTCCAAGAAGGTCCCACATCCATTTGCACTATTCAGATGACGCTGAGGGCACAGATAAGCCTCTTAAGTGCCTCAACAAGTCTCTGAAAGAGTGCTAACAACCAGATGACTACAAGGAATATAAATCCTTCTGTCCTCGACCATTCATTCAGAAATGAAACATCTTCAAGCAAAAGCAAAGTTCAGTTGCCTTTTGAAAAAGCACCTTTGGGACAGTCACACATTTAGATGGTTGTGAAGAGATCTAGACAGATTATTGGTATTTGTCTAGTACTGCTATCAATAATTACTAGCTTTAATACAATATATTCCTCCAAAACTTAA